CATATGTATTAAATTCTCACTTTTCGCTGCTGACTTACACCTTGTAATCTTTTTGTGCCGTACGTAGTATGTGATTCGATAATCTGGGAAGGATAAACTATAGCTTATGTCCACCTTTCTGCTCAGCAGTTCACTCTGTCCTCCTTTTTGGCTGTGAGACCTGGCTGTTGAAAGTGGAAGACATGAAAAGATTAGCTGTCTTTGATCATAGGTGCCTGCGTTCTATCTCCCGTGTGAAGTGGTATAATAAGGTGAGCAATATTGAGGTTAGGCTTCGGTCGAGTGCTAGGTAAGGAGGGGAAATCAATAGACGAGGCTGTGAAGTTACGTCGACTAAGATGGTTAGGACATGTGTTACGCATACCTGCCTAACCATCGCCTTCCTCGACAATGGGCAATGTTAGCCAACATAGGTTCAGGCTGGAAAAGAGCCAGTGGTGGTCAAACCAAAACATGGCTTCATCAGTCAATCAAATCCACAACAATTAGTTTAAGCCACGTAGGATGGTGTAAACTGGTTGACTGGTTGGGGTCCTCGGGATGGTAAAAACCAATGACTTGAGACAATCGGCGATATGGCTCAAAGTGATCGTTCTCAATGGCTGGCTGCCGCAGATGCATCCACTCCTTGTGACTTATAATTTCCAATGGAACTATATTGCTCTTCGTTATCACTATTCCTTTGTCTCATATACCTGTTTACTGTCTCTATTATGCATTTCTTCTACTTTCTTTTCTTGCTTTGTGTGCTACATGGAGGGAGTGTGGTGACTTGAACTGCTGCACATCGGTGCAAAGTTCTATGTCGAAAACAGACAGTCATACTTATTAAAATTAGAAAACATGAAAAAGCTAACTGTCTTTGGTCAGAGGTGTCTGCATTCAATCTCCCATGTTAGACGGTCTAATAGGATGAGTAATATTGAGGTTAGGCCTCGGGTGTCATTCTATGAGGTTTTGAAGCTAAATCGACTGATATGGCTAGGACATGTTTTATGTGTACGTAGGGGGAGGTGGGCTGCTGTGTGTGGTTGGGGTCCTCGGGATTGTAAGAACTAATGAAGGCTGGAGACAAATGGTGATACGGCTCAAAATCTTTGTTCTCAGTTATGGCGCAGATGTATTTACTCTTTGTGATCTGCTGTATCCAATAGACCCCTATTGTTTTTCTACCTTACTATTCTTTCTCCTTCACATTTCCGCTTATTATTGTTCTTCCTAATCTCTTTTTTCTGTCCCTTCTTTTGCTTTATGTGGTACATGAAGGGAGTGTGGCAACTTGAACTGCTGCACCTCTGTGCAAAGTTCTACGTTGAAACCAGTCAGTTTACCCACCTTTATGTTCATTTGCTCTTTCTCATGCTCTTGTGGAACTGGTTGCATTGGACGTTATAGATTAATTTTGAAGAGTTGATTTTCAGGGATTTCATTTTTTTCACGTTTGATCATAGATTGATACGAGTTAGAGAGCCATTGAAAACCAAGGAGTAATGGACCAGTGGGGTCCATCCCGTCGGGAGTGAGGACAAACACTCACCGAAGACATTGGCCAAATTCACAAATTAGGAGAATTTAGAATTCATGGGCATTGCTGATGAGTCGCAAACTAGGATGGAACAACTGTCCATTACTCCTTGGTTTTAATAGATTACCTGAGAAATGTGATGTATTTGCGCAATATGCATTTCGAACAATAATCTGATCACACATTTACTTGTCAAGTCAAGTTATATTAAAAAATAAGAGTAATGAGAATAATTAACTCGTGTTCTATGCGATAAAGAAAGCATTAGGCGTGATACCTATAATTCATTAAATAGTCAGTGGAACAACTGGATCTCGTCTTTCCAACTCATATCATTTTATAGGTACAACGTTTTCCTTCTTTCTTTTCCTTTTCTCTCTCTCTCTTTTTGTTGTTGTTATGTGCTGCTTTGTTTCTTTCTTCTTTTATTTTTTTTATTTTTGATTACAGCTTGATGCCACACCGTATTTTCAGTACAAGTATGGCATTTTTAGCATGAATATCGGTAGCCCAAATTTCGCAGGCCGACCATAGATATCGGGTGTGCGTCGGCAGGGGATGGAACCTCGGACCATGTGCATGGTCGGCGAGAGTCCTAACCACTGTGCCACCGACGCACCCTACAAACTCTACTTAAAACATTCTTCTTCGTTCTTTCACACTCTGTATATCTCGACCTTTTTGTTACCGCTTACGCCAGTAAATATGCTAGCGTCTACTTTTCTAACACCTTCAAACACTCTGTTCAATTTTCGGCTTTGCTACCAACATGCCAATATGTTGTTGTCAAAACTAACTGAGATTACCCTTAATCTATGTAGAATTTTATTTATTGATAATGTACAAACTGGATGCAATACTGTAGTAAAAATGCTGAGAATTCCATTCTGTATCACAAGTACTGTTTTGGAATAAAGCAAATTATTATTATTACTAACAGTACGTTTGGTAATCTTTATCTGATTATATAACCAAAATTATATTTGTGTATTTTGATTGACCTTGACTCATCATATCAAGTGATTTGCTTGACAAGTAAATACGTGATCTATCAGATTATTGTTCGAAATGCGTATATTGCACAAATACACACACGACATTTTTCAGATAATCTCTTATCTTCTTTCTAATAACACTATGCAAATTTATAAAAGGAACTAATTGTTTTAAATTGTATAGACTATCTAATTGTATCACGTGACTATTATTTGTGGGTCAAAAAAAATAAGTGTTAAGTTTTGTAAATATATTAGTAATTAACGACTATATTAATAATATATAATAATAGCAGTAATAATAATGATGATAATTAGGTCAATGATAACAAAAGTACAAGCTGTTGATTTAAGCAGTGATAAGAAGAATAATGAAGAAGACAGTATGATAGTGAAAAAAATTCAGTGATTAGATTGAGTAAACATCTTATAATATTAAAAGTTGCATAATACTAGAGATGATATGGATAGTGGATAATTGGAGTTTAAATAAATATCATAAAATTTAATTTGTGGATGTGACTAGCAGTGTAGATCTGCTACCTGCAGATAGACTTTTCCACCTCGAGTATGCAGACGATATCGTCTTACTGTGCGATAGCATGCAGGCTGCCCAAATCGCACTTAATCAGTTGGCGATCAGTGTCTGTAAGTATGGTATGTGCTTTGTACCGTCTAAGTGCAAAGTACTGTTACAAGATTGGCAGGAGCCTGTACCTGCACTCACTCTTGCGGGTGAACCGCTTGAAGTTGTTGATAAGTTTGTGCATCTGGGTAGTTGTGTGAGTGCTGGCGGAGGGGTGACGGATGAGATTTCCAACCGTATAATAAAGGCTAGGGTGGCATAAATACACTTGAGCCACCTCTGGCGTCGTCGCGACGTAAGCCTGGCTGTCAAAGGTCGGGTATACAATGCTTCGGTGCGGGCTGTCTTGCTCTACGCCTGTGAAACCTGGCCTCTCCGAGCTGAGGATGTGCGGCGACTCTGCGTGTTCGATCATCGCTGTCTCCGCAGGATTGCTTGCGTTCGATGGCATCATCGCATGAGTAATTCCGAGGTTCGGCGGCGTGTATTTGAACACAGTGGAGATCACCATTCATTGAATGTTGTCATCTGGAACCTCCGGTGGCTGCGAATGTCATCCCAGAGGCTTCTGTACAAGTCTCTGTTCGCTAGCCCTGGGACGGGATGGAAAAGGCGGAGGGGTGGTCAGTCCATGACGTGGCGTCGTGGGATGAAGGATATTTGTACTAGATTAGCATCGGTTGGTGCGTCACGACTCCCTGGTTGGGGTCCGCGAGATAGCTCGAATCGATGGCTCGAAACGTTATCGGATATGGCCAAGAATCGTAATCAATGGCGAACGTGTTGCAATTTCCTTCTTTCTTCCCTTCCTGATGATAGTTAACGAATGCTGTTTGAACTTGTTAAGTATCACTTTTCCTTGCAGATGAAGTTCTTTACCCGTTCTCTACTTATATTTTTTTACTTTTGATCTGTGTTGTTTTATTATTATTGTGTGGCGCATCTTTCTTGGTGCCATATTGTACCAAGTTTTTTCTGCGTTTAAATAAAATAAATTAAAAAACTAGCAGTGGAATCCAGGATGCGCGTTTCGTCTTATTTGGGACTCTTCATCCGGATGTACCTGCATTTCTCAGTAAGTGATGATGTTCCTACCGACGCTCGAACCCAGTACCCATAGTTTCAAACGCCAAAGCGTTATCCACTAGACCACTACGAAAGGAATGAAAAATAAGAAACGGTTGGGAGCTTTAATTAATTCATTAGATTTACTTAGGCCAAGGGAGGGACAAACGTAGAACAAACCTCTTTTGTATACAAAGAGTAGGATTTATTAGGTGGATGGTGACTAGCAGTGGAATCCACTAGGATGCACATTTCGTCCAATTTGGAACTACTCATCAGCTGGATGTATCTGCACTCCCCGGTGAGTCAGTGGTGATGTTCCCATTGAGACTCCGACCCAGTAGCCATCGTTTCAAACATCAAAGCGTTATCCACTAGACCACTTGGTCCATGTGCAACGAGTATCAGAGGGGTGGAACACTTCAGTCCAATCAATCAGCGGGAAAGTACAAATCGAATTAAAAGAAAACTAGGGTTGTTCTCCCGAATTCTCATAGGTTTCGAAGCTGCCTGTGAAAAGACGAGTTCTAATTCCTTTCGAAAGGTTCAATGGAATGCGATAAATAGCCTTGAAAGTGCTTCTTCTGTTCACTTGGTGACTAATATCAATGAAATGAGACAAAATAGAGCTTCCTATAGATTTTGATTTTGATCTTTTCTGAACCATGATGGACGATGCTTCGTTTCCATCATTAAAGTGAAACCTTAAGAAGATGCAATTGAAAACCATTATTGTTCACTTATATAGCCTGTTTTAATTTAAACACTGAGAATATTTAATAATAACTACTATTATTCATTTTCTGTGTGTATATTTGTATTCGTCTAGGGTTATTTTCTTGGTGTTTCTGGTCAAAAGTTAACCAGACGTTTACGTGAGAATCTGTTCGCATCTATGTTGAAACAAGTAGGTTCTTTTGGATTTCTATCTTAATATTAACTCCATAGTACTTGGTATATTGTTAATGCATTGTAATGACAGAAACAACGTGGTGTTTTGTGTTATAATCCCGTAATGCATTTAAATATTTACTAGTATTATTTTTTCCTTAGGTTCTAAGTGGAACATCGGGCTTCAGCAGGACATCTCCATCTCAAGCTGTTCTCTGCAGTCCAGTCCTTTTTTGTTGGCTCCACGAGTGCCCATAAGCTTTCATTTCCTAGTGGTGTGATATGGGGGAGAGCCTATGTCATTTAGGGATACACTTCAATTTGACCTTGGCTCGACAGTCTGGCGTTGTTAGATCACTCAGTGATCCCCCGCCTCCAGCGGATATATAATCCATTTTCATTTTCTCGGACATATATGTTGGCTAAAACGGGTTCTTGATGGGTTCATTGGCAGAGCTCCTGTTCGTTTCTGGTGGGACATGAGCCAGCGAAGAGGTTATCTGCTGATAAAAGTCTACAGTAGCCTTTTGGAAACGCTTTCAGTGACACGTGCGACCAGTCTCTGAACTATATAGAAACACTGACTGACTGGTTAAGTGACTGACATTAGTGTAGAAAATCTGGATATCTTTCCTTATATTGAATGCAGCATATTTCTACATTCATTTCAGAGTAAGGAAGGTTGGTTTTGCTTTCCCTATCCTTCTTTCCCCCTTCACTGCCGCCCCCGGTTTACTCATGCTTCACTAGTTTACTAACCTGTCTTAAACCCGGAAATAGAGGGAAGGTTGGGCTTATGGACTAGTGACTGCACCCCGAGAAAATCAATCCATTCCTTATTGAAGCTTAAAAGGACAGAGAAAAAAATTTTAAATTGCAAACAAATAACATCCTGAATATCTAACTCAAATTGATTGATTGGTCGACCCGAAGTGCTCGGCCTCAGGTTGACATGTCGGCTCCTTGTGTGGATGCTTCAACGATGTCTGAGAATTTAACTTGGAGTAATTTTGGTGGATGGTGACTAGCAGTGGAATCCAGGATGCACATTTCGTCCTATTTGGGACTCGTTAACAGAGGTCAAACACTTCAGTCCACTCAATCAATGAGAAAGTCCAAACTGATTTAAATTAAAGCTGATAAACCTTGCACAAAATGTGGTTCTCGTGGCCTAAGTGGTCTACAAGGATAACGCTTAGGCGTTTGAAACAATGAGTACTGGCTTCGAGCCTCAGTGAGAACACCAGCCTTACTCTTGTCTACTCAGTGTGTGTTACAACAAGCTCAAAACCTGGTTCAGGTAGATTTTTCTTCTGATTACTATATTTTCAAGTATTGGTTTTGTAGGGAATTTTGTTTGATTGCATGGAGGATTTCATCATGAGCTGACATCAGTTAGCGAACCACTGGAAAACCTGGGAGTACTGGACAGTTGTTTCATCGGCCTAGTTTGGGACTCTTCATCAGTACGCACCCACCAGGATTCGAACCCAGGACCTTCTGATTACAAGGCGAGCTCGTAGACCATTGAGCCACTGGGACCCGATCCAATGGTCCATGAATTCTAACTTCTGCCAATTCACGACATAGTGCGACCGTTTTGCAATGTCTTCGACGATGTCAGCTCATGATGAAATCCTCCATGCAATCAAACAAATATCCCTGCAAAAGCCAATTCTTGAGAATCGATCTCATGCTCACTAGCGACTGGCCCTATTCAGGCGGTGACCTGGGGTTCTAGTGGGAAATCGTGACCAGTAGGGCACAGCAGGTTGAAGATGAGGTAGTAACTCATCGGAAAAGACATTGCGAAATGGTCGCACTATGTCATGAATTGGCAAAAGTTAGAATTCATGGGCCACTGGATCAGGTCCCAGTGGCTCAATAGTCTACGAGCTCGCCGTGTAACCAGAAGGTCCTGGGTTCGAACCGTGGCAGTGGGTGCGTACTGATGAAGAGTCCCTAACTGGGATGACGAAACAGCTGTCCAGTACTCCCAGGTTTTCCAGTGGTTCTCGAACTGATGTCAACTAATGATGAAATCCTCCATACGATTACTATATTTGACAAGTAGGGTGGTCAAATGTATCTGGAAAAGGTCAGTCAGTCTGTTCTGTGCTGACGTTGTCTAATGGAGTTTGATTGACAAATAACCAGTCAGTTTTATTTCGTTTAAAACTCATACTATACATTATGTATTGTTTTATGCGTATATATATAAAGCCCTAATTCCACAAAGTACTTTCTATATTATGTGAAATTCTGAGTATATAGTACACTGTTCCATCTAACTTCCTCTATAAACCTCACAGTAAGGCGAAAAATAACTAACAGAATATTTACACTTATAATGTCCTTTAAGTATATATGTAAATCAATAGAAATGGTGACCACGGCATACAGAAGATAGGATGAATAAGAACAGATGTTCACTTACTTACCTACTGTTTCTCAATAGATTAGTAATTTCATGCCCAACACTCTTTTCATCATATAAAATACGTACAAGATAAGATATCGTTGAGATTTTGTACTTAGTTCTGTGTGCATAAAGATACTTGAGGGGGGGGGGGGGTTAGTTGTGAATAAAGAGGTTGCTCAAAGTCTGAAAAGATGATTTCTGGCCATTTTTTTATTTAGCATGAGTTCAAGTGCCTGTTCTTTACAATAGTAACGCGCCAAGTTAAACTTTAAGCACCACTAACTACCAATAGAGTGCTACCACACCAATAACCTTAAAATGCTCACTGAGCAAATCAGTGAAACCTGGCAAATAATGTTGTCATCATCAATAAAATATGCTCATAGAAGTGTTATGTTATTAAATGGGATATCTGGCAAGTTTCAGCTTAGGTTTAAGAAAGATTAAGTTACGCTTTAAGCCAAGGAAAAGTTAGGGTTAGATTAACCTAATATTGGCGACATTAGGGTTGGTTCGAGTTAGATTACAGTTAGTTTAGGGATATTTTCACGTTAGGGTTAGGTTCAGGAAAGATTAGGTTTATTGTTAGGGTTAGAAGACCTAAATAATTACATGCATAGAATGTGGTTAAGTTACACTGTTCATATAAACACTTTGATTAAAGCCGAATTACAAAGATTAAATGCTCTCTATAACCAGAAGTTTCTTTCATGTAAATCCTCATCTAATATGTGGAAGCTATTAAAGGAAATCACAGGTGGTAAGCAAATAATGAATGATACTTCCGTTGATGTTGATATGCTTAATAAATCCTTCATATGTATCCCTGCAGATGTTATGATTCCCAAATCTAATAGTATAAATAATGACTGCTTTTCATGTTTTAACACGAATGATGTCCTCAAGTGTCTTCAATCTCTCAAACCTACCCAGTCCCTTGGTCCTGATGGAGTTCCTGCTGTTATCCTTAAGAAGTGTGCTGACATCTTATGTTACCCATTAACTGACATTTTCCAAAAGTTTTATTCCTGACTCATGGAAAAATATCAAGGTTGTTCCAGTGCCCAAATCAACAAGTGGACCCACTGTCAAGTTTAGACCCATTGCTATTACCTCACCTTTTTTAAAAGTTATGGAAAGACTTATTTTACTTAATCTTGAACCCTCTTTAAAGCCTTTTAACGACCCCAACCAGTTTGCCTATAAACATAGTAGGTGTACCCTAGATGCCGCTGTAGTTCTATATCATAATATAGTCTCTAGTTTAGATAGAGGAGCCAAATATGTTCGGTGTGCCTTCCTTGATTACACATCTGCATTTGACTCTGTGCCTAGGTCTCTCTTGTTAAGTAAGCTTGCTGCAACACAGAGTGAGAGCTGGATAAATAAGTGGTTGTATTCCTACTTTTCTGAAAGGAAGCAGTACACTGTCTACAATGAAAAGTCCTCCACTACCTCACTTACTTTAGCTGGTGTTCCTCAAGGCGCCGTTCTTTCTCCTTTTCTGTTTTCTTTTTTCTTACATGACTTGCCCCATTCTGATTTAGCCACTTTTGTCAAGTATGCTGATGACCTTTCTGTCTCCATGCCTGTTAACTCTCAGTCAGACTGTTCCATATTGAATAACTTTCTCTCGGAAATTAGTCAGTGGTCCTCTTCAAACGGTCTTAAGCTGAATCCGTCTAAATGTCAGGTAGTAAATTTTACTTTCAGACGAAAAAGTGACCTTCAACAACTAGCTAGCTCACATGGTCCCACTATCATTGACGGCATAGAGGTTGAAACTACATCAGATGTCAAGTACCTTGGACTGAGTATCTCCTCCGATCTTTCCTGGTCCTCTCACATCTTGCTAGTGACTAGAAAGATGTTTCGCTTAACGTTCTACCTAAGGAAGTTTAGGCAGTCTGGTATAAAGCAGTCTTTACTTTCTCAGTTTGTCAATTCCTGTATTCTACCCATCCCTCTTTACTGCTCCCCATTAATCTTTCCTGGACTACTTAAGAAGGACTTTGCTTCGCTGCATAGGGCACTAAAAGCTGTTAGTAGGGCAAGTGGGATTTCGTTAAACCAACTGGTTAACACAATTGTGGATAGACATATAATGTCATGTAAGAAACTAGCAAATTCTATATTGTCAGACCCCGAACACCCTCTCCATACGCAGCTCTCTCCTTGCATTTCATCTGGTAGAACTAGAAGCAACTATAGGAAGCTATATGCCAGGACTACCAAGTATAAAAACTCCACAATACCTTATCTGGCACAGCTGTTATGTGATGAGAAAACTGTTAGGCATGACATGATCAATTTACTGCGGCACTCTAACAAATAGTTCCCATTAGCTTTTGTTCTCCTTTCTTTGTTACTATTATATTGTTGCTCATATATTCTATTACAGACTAATTTTATATATCATATCCTGTGGTGCATTGTTTAAATATGTGAATGCAATGCTGTTCTTTTTTTTTCTTTTATTTCTCTTTTTCTTTTTGTTGTTGTTGCTTTATATTTCTAAATCCTTATAAAATTTATGAGGTAATTAGATGCAATATTGTAATGAACGCTGAAAATTCCATACCTGTACCACAAATACTGTTTGGAATAAAGCCATTATTATTATTATTATTATTATTATTATTATTATAAGAATAGAACTTGTGCACTGTGGTAGAGTATAATTCCATTGTGGGTAAAATTTATTTTGATAAAGTTTTACAGTATTATACAGTGATATTTACTGATGACGCCTTTTCGAGCACAATTTATTGCTCAATAAACATTACTGGATAACACTGAAACTTTATCAAAACAAATTTTACCCACAATGGAATTATACTCTGTTGATACTGAGAGCTACTTTTATCACATGTTAGAGAAAGGTATCATGTGTAACACTTTTATACAGTTTTTATGCATTTTTTCATAAACATCTGTATTCCATACACAAAAATGCCTGCTTCACGTGATTTCTGAGTTCGAGGTCATTCGCTGATTGGTAGTTAGTGGTGCTTAAAGTTTAACTTTGCCTAGTAACGAGTTGTGTTGTAATTAAAATACCACTCGCCATACCTACAGTTTTTAATATTCCATTGCAATGTAACAAAGTCTTTCTTCAGTAGCCCAGAGAAGATTAAGAGGGAGTTGGAAAGAAGAATAGGTAGAATAAAAGAAATAGCATAATGAAAGTAGAGGCAGAGTAATTCCTTCCAGATTATCTTAACTTAGACGACACATTTTCCTAGAAATCAATAGGGTTTTCGGACGACCTGGCAAGATCACAGGAAAGAGATAATCGAAGATATTTAACAAAAGACTTAATTTTAAAATTTCAATACCCTCTGCGTTACAAGAATCATGAAAACGAACCAGTACACATAAATCGTGTTTGTATTTGAAGGTGAGATTAACAGTGTTACACTTGGAGGGATTTACTTAGCTTAAGACCATTCGACAAGGACCACTGGCTAAAAGTTATGTATTCATTTTTGGAACAGTCTGATTGGGAAGTAACAGGTATGGAAACAGCATACCTGATAAGACCCAGCATAAAATAGTATATCATCATTTCTCGCGCATGTTGTGATTTAGTTTGTGATCAGTTCATCGTCTTTTGTCTCTCCTTGATCTTTTTCGGATCACCAACCAATCAGAATAGACATTTCCAGCCAATAAGAACAGCAATCACTTGGAATCTCTGGACCTGCGTTTCATGCCTGTTGGCATTCAGCAGTCAGCAAGGCTTATTTGCAACCTTGAAGGAATTCATGTCCTTCTTGATATTTAAACCAGCGTCACTCAGTGCCGAAGTCAAAGGATATACCACTCAACCATTCGGACTCCAGATTTACATCCTTTGGGACTGTAATGGATATATTAATTGGCTATTAGGGAGTCAGCAATGTCATGCGTCTACTCCTCTCTGTGTCGGTGCAGACGGAATTTTATCATTCAAGTTTGAGATGTGGTCACTAATGTAGGTGGCTCGTCATCATGGTCCACTCTGAATAAATGTTAAATCATTGGAGGCGATTGGCAGGATGCCCTGAGCTTTATTTATGTGAGAGGTGTTTAATTAACTGTGTACAAATATTCCATATTAGTTTGTTTATTAGATATATCACACAGTGAAACAGTATTATTTATTCACTGACGTTTCGAACAAAATTTATTGTTCATAATCATATCTTCAATATTAATCAGACGACTTTGAGACTTGATTTTTATAGTTTTCTTTTTTCTTTCCTATTTGTCGTATGGGTAGTGGAATTTTCCAGATATCGGAGACAGGTGATGAATCATTCCTATTACATCTATTTGTAGTTGATTCGATAAACAAAACTTCTTTTATCAATCTCTCCCTGTACCCTGTGACATTAGATTTTATTAATATTATTATTATTAATATTAGTGACGACACCAACAATAAAGAATCTAAATCATCAGTAGTAATTCCATACAAGGAAGGAACCTCGGAAGCCTTACGCAGAATTCTTAACAAGGCAGGAATAAAAACGGCATTCAAACCCACAAACTCAATTAGAAGCAAGCTCTGCCGGTTAAAGGATCCTGTAGAGACTTTAAAACAAAACAATTTAGTCTATCTAATACCCTGCTTGCAATGATTGTCAGGTCAAATACATAAGTCAAAGCAGTAGAACAGGTGCAGTCAGACTAGCCGAATATAAAAACCTAGCAAAATCTAGATTAGTTGACCCGAATAAGTAAGAAATCTGGGGAATAGTTCAGCTATACCACTCACTACATGCAATTATACACAAACATACAATAGGATGGGATAAAATGACACTTTTAAAATCTAATGTCACAGAGTGGAGGGAGAGATTGATAACAGACGCTTTGTTTATCGAATCAACTACAAATAGATGTCTGTCTGTCTGTCTGTTTTCGACGTAGAACTTTGCACATATGTGCGGCAGTTCAAGTCGCCACACTCCATGTAGCACACAAAGGAAGAGAAGAAAGTAGGAGAAATGCATAATATAGACAGTAAACAGAGGTGTGAGACAAAGGAGTAGTAATAACGAAGAACAAAACAGTTTCATTGGAAATCATAAGTCACAAGCAGTGGATGCGTGTGCGCCATCAATGAGAACGATTTTGAGCCATGTCACCAATTGTTTCCAACCATTGGTTTTTACCGTCTAGAGGACCCCAACCAGGAAGTCTACATCTTCCCACGTGGCTTAGACTAACTGTTGTGGATCTCATTGACTGGTGCCATGTTTTGGTTTAACCGCCACTAGCTCTTTTCCAGCCTGACCCTATATCAGCTAACATTGTCCGTCGAGGAAGGCGATGATTAGGCATACGTAACACATGTCACAACCATCTCAGTCGATGTAATTTCACAGTCTCATCGATTGATTTCCCCTCCCTACCTAGCACTCGACGCCTAACCTCAATATTTTTCACCTTATCATACCACTTCACACGGGAGATGGAGCGCAGACACCTATGATCGAAGACAGCTAATCTTTTCATGTCTTCTGCTCTCAATGGCCAGGTCTCACAGCTAGCCATAAAGGAGGACGGAGCGGACTGCTGAGCAGTACACACGCCCTTTGGTCGATAGTCGGATATCACGTCTACGCCAGAGACGGCGTAAACTGGCATTTGCGAACCTAGCCCTCTGTATACGTGCTGAGATTTCGTCTGAGATCAACCCGTTGGGGCTGATGGTACTTCCCAAGTAATTGAAGCGGTCAGTGTGCTCTACCACTTCACTTCCTATATCTAATCTAGGGGTCAGTGAAGTCCAATCCTGCAGCATCATCTTACATTTTACAGGGGCGAATCGCATGCCAAACATTCTTAGATTGCAGCTCAAGGTGTTCAGTAGACTCTGCATTTTGTCAGAGTCCTCGCCTAGAAGGACTATATCGTCCGCATATTCTAAGTCAACGAGATTCTTCCCTGGTAGCAAGTCAATCCCTGAGTCGCTGAAGTGTGTTAGGGTTAAGTCCATTAGTACGTCTATGATGAAGTTGAATAGGAATGGGGATAATGGGCATCCTTGACGGACGCCACTAGTCGTCACCACTTCAGATGACAACTCGCCATAAGCCCTCACCTGGCTGCATGAGTACGAGTAGAGTGCCTTAATCAGTGCAATGTATTTTCTCGGCATTCCCTTTACAGCCAAGCATCGCCAGAGAACCTCCCGGTCGACAGAATCGAATGCCGCCTTTAGGTCAAGAAATATAATGATTGTCGGACGCCGGTAGGAATGCCTATGTTCTAGAATCTGTCGAAGGGTGAAGATATGATCAATACACCCTCTACCTGGCCTAAAACCTGCCTGCTTTTCTCGTGTTTGTGTCTCCCGAGCACCACTTAGTCTACGCAGTATTATTGAGCCTGGGATTTTAGATACTATACTCGTCAAGCTAATCCCTCTGTGATTATCACAAGAAGACTTGTCTCCCTTCTTGTATATCGGGATGATCAGTGACTTACACCAACCCGATGGGACTTCCTCTGATTCCCAGACGCTGCCTAGAACCTCCGTTAACGCAGACAGTAAACTGTCTCCTCCGTACTTAAATACCTCTGGAGTCAATAAATCAGGTCCCGCTGCTTTGCCTAGCTTCAGATTGGTGACAGCTTTAGTAACCTCAGTTAGGGACGGAGGACCTGTGTCTATCTCCCATTCAGGGAGGTGTTGGATGTCCGGCAGGTTAAGTGTGGCTGTGGGCCAATTAAACTGCTCCTCGTAGTGTTCTTTCCAGCGCTCCAGACGTCTATCCTGGGAGCTAACAAATAGATGTAATAGGAATGATTCATCACCTGTCTCCGATATCTGGAAAATTCCACTACCCATACGACAAATAGGAAAGAAAAAAGAAAACTATAAAAATCAAGTCTCAAAGTCGTCTGATTAATATTGAAGATATGATTATGAACAATAAATTTTGTTCGAAACGTCAGTGAATAAATAATACTGTTTCACTGTGTGATATATCTAATAAACAAACTAATATGGAATTACTTACTACCACAGTGCCCAAGTTTTACACATATATTAATGTGTACAAATATAACTAACTCTAAATACTACATTGTGGTGTTTTAAAATTTAGTTATCCTTTGCCTAAATGATACTTAACTTATTCATTTTGTTTTTCTTTCTTCTAAGGAAATAGCATGGCATGATCAACCAGAGCATAGTCCAGGCATTCTATTGGTTATGCTAACAACAGATGCAAATAAAGTGAATACACTTTGTGGTGTATCATTGGGTCGACTGATTGAGTCCATTGTACTAGTGATTGCATCATTAACTATCGGTTTCGTCTATAATTGGAAACTGACTTTAGTTGTGTTGGTTTTCTTCCCAGTGATTATGCTATCAGGTTATTTACAGGTTTGTTATGCCTCTTTCACCGGTGGGGGGGCGAATTTGTTTTTGTTTGTTTTGTGAGATGCATTTTTTATTATAGCTTGAAACCACACTGTACTTTTGGTACAAGTATGGAATTTTCAGCATGTGATATTGGTAGCCCAAATTTAGCAGGCCAACCATTGATATCAGGTGTGCGTTGGCAGGGGATCGAACCCCGAACCATGTGCATGGTCGGCGAGCGTCCTAACCACTGTGCCACCGACGCACATTTACTGATATATTGCCTAATGATGTGTCTTTTGGGGGTGAGTGTTTAAGGAGTGATGATATGGGACACCCGAACTACTCCGCACCACTTGTAAACTAGTAAAAAGGAAGCATTCTTGAAGCAGTAGGCTGCATATAGAGTAGCATAAATCATGAAAGTGCAATTTTGAGTGTTAAACTTTGAAACCTGAAGTTTAGATATGTGTATGAAGCACAACACATTTACGTCTCATTTTAGATGAGTTTATTTTAATTATCACACAGTGACGATGCAGTATTATTAACTGGATGACAAGGGTTTGAGCATAAATTATTGCCAATCATAATCACATCAATTTTAGTCACACAGTTTCACAATTTGTCTTATGTATATATTCTCTCTCTCTCCGAATTCCCCTTGTTGTTTGTCGCCACTTTCCATATCTCCAGTATAGGTGCGTTGCGTCATTTCGATTGGACGTGTGCGGTGTTGAATCGATTAACAGAGATGCAATGATTAACCTGTCTCTCCACCTAACAATTTTTTTATTCCTTTACGTTCACAGTGGAACATAGGGCTTCAAGCTACAGGCTTGAAGTTTCGGTAGCAGTGGTGCTTACTCTTACGGGATGGGGTTTCTAGCCTCATGCCTTAGAGAGGTAAAGAGGTGCGTCGGCCGGGAATGGAACCCCGAAGCGCATGAGTGATCGGCGAGCATCCTAACGCTGCGCCACCGACCCACCCACCTAACTATATTACTTTTTAATACTCTCACCCTGTCCCACCCACCCTATTTTGTGATTACATGCAAGTGAATGCAGTGCAATGGCCGAGCTTTTTTCTAGATTATTTAACTTAGCAGGGTCAATCATTCTAGGTTTAGCTAAATTTTTATATTCCAATAATCTAGTTGATCCCGATCTTTTAGTTTGACCTATGTAATTGACCTCACTGACAGTCATTGCATGTTTATTTAGTAAATTATATTATTTTTCTTAATTGGTTTAATTGGGTCCTTAAGCGGACAAAGTTTATCTTTGAGTGAGTTGGTTGGTTGGTTGGTTTAAATACCACCCTAATTCCAGCCTCATTGAGAATCCTGCGTAAAGCCTCTGACTTTCCTTCTTTATACGGTGGTACTACAGAGGCTTTGAATCTTATATTATTTCTGCCATTTTCATCATTTTTATTACTAATCTTGTTTTTTCTATGGTTCTTCATACATTTCTGAATGAATTCTGATGGTTAGTTATTCACTAGTAATATTTTCTTTATTTGTTTGGTGTCATTATTTAAATCTTCTGGCTTACTAGTTAGGCTCCTGGCCCTGGCTTAAGGATCTAATAGATCCAATTAAGAAAAAATCCCTACAAAAACCAATACTTGAAAATCGATCTGATGCTCACTAGCGAATGGCCGAATTCAGGGAGTGATGTGGGGTTCTAGTGGGAAGCCGTGACCAGTAGGGTGCAGCAAGTTGAAGGTGAGGCAGTAACTCATCGAAGAAGACGTTGGCTAGCGGTCGAGCTATGTCGTAAAATTGGCAGAAGTTAGAATTCATGGGCTGGCCAGTGGATCGGGTCCCAGTGGGTTAATGGCCTTCGAGTTCGCTCGCCTTGTAACCAGAAGGTCCTGGGTTCGAAACCGTGGCAGTGGGTGTGTACTGATGAAGAGTCCCAAACTAGAACGAAATAGCTATCCAGTACTCCCTTCATGTTTTCCGATGGTTCTCTAACGTATGTCAGCTCATGATGAAACCCTCCGACCAATCAAACAAAATCCCTACAAAAACCAATACCTAAAAAATAATATAATTTACTAAATACCATGTAATGCTGAATATGAGATCAATTACATAGATCAAACTAGTAGATCGGGATCAACTAGATTATTGGAATATAAAAATTTAGCTGGCTAGACCTAGAATAATTGACCCTACAAAGTTAAATAATCTGGAAAACATCTCAGACAATGTATTACATTCACTTGCATGTTATTTCAAAATAAGGTGGGACAGGTATCAGGTGGAGAGAGAGGTTAGTCACTGCATCTCTGTTTATCGATTCAACACCGCACACGTGCAATCGAAATGACACGATGCACCTACACAGGAGATATGGAAAGTGGCAACAAGTAACAAAGGGAAATAGGAGAAACAGAAAGAAAATATAAGGTAAATTGTGTGACTAAAATTGATGTGATTATGAGTGGCAATAATTTATGCTCGACACGTTATGCATTTATCAATACTGCATCATTACTGTGTGACATTTGAAATAAACTTATCTAATATGGAATTACATTCTACCACACTGTCCAAGTTCTACACCTACATTAATTTATTTTCTCAAACTAGCAAGAACTCTGAAGCCGTCCAAAATAAACACCTCATAAAAGTTTTCCCAATACATAATTTACTGTCAAATATCTAAATATTATATTACTTATATCATAAAGTGAACAATAACAACGCTACAATAAGCGTCGTTGTTACGACAGGTTATAAACCCACTTGTATGCAAGTTATTACCAAAATAAACAAATATCTCTTTCGTAAACCGCCTACTTGAATAAATAGAACGGAGGCGGTCAATTATGTTTGTTTTTTGTTGTTATTTTTTTGTGGTTAATTTCCTCAGCTAGAGTTGATCTTTTGTGATTTTGTATTATGTGCTTAGAGAGAAATGCTGTCATCATATCAGGTGATACACTTGACTGTGATAAAAGTTTTCTATTGAATTTTTTTTTTTTACAAACCTGGAATGAATATCTGTTGTAGCCTTTATCATGTACTATGCGCGAAAACACCCTGCGATCACTTTTATCCTCACCCATGATACATTTAAACAAATTACAGAATTCTCTATAGGATTTATCACAAACTTGTTATTCCGCTTATAATAATCTCTAAGCATAATTAATAGCCAAAAGTACAACAGGTCAAGTAATATTTCATGCATTTTTCCCCGTTATGAATTTGAATAAAGCATGAACAACAGTGGTTTGTGCAGAATGAGATGGTACCATCATTGATTTCGTTGGCTCCTCATCATCTGCTTGCAGTCTTAAGATATTATTAAGTTTATGAACAGAAACAAGTTTAACATACTTGCGATTTTCACATGATGTCGGTTGACAAAGAGTTCAAGTTTAAATAAAACAAAATCAATCTATGCATACAATGGTAAAGGAGTTATGTAATAAAGACAAGACGCTGAAGCCAAAGATTACGTAATCAAATGAAAGAGAGAATAAAGATATCTAGTTGCCGGGCGGGAAAGGAAAGACTGCTAACTGCTTCTTTCTGAACACACGCATTAATGGGGTTTAAGGCGTTTGATAGAGATTACTTTGGCAAACTTGAAGAGAATTGAGCTATTTTAGTCTATTGATAATTTCAAAGGATTTTGTAATGCCCATCTCATGACTCGTATCAAGGCTATGTCTGGCAATGGCTAGGTTGGTTCACGTTTATCGGAAAACATGCTCTTCGAAGCAGTCAAAAGTTTACAGATACCCTTCTCAATGTTAACTTCAACTGTGTATACGAATTTACATGTATCTATGGGAGCAGTTACATTGGGAGAACAGAAAGAAAGACATACCTTCAATTTTCTGGATATGTATCAAAGAGCCTACGTCTCAAGGGAACAAATGTTTTCAGTAGTACTATTTCTAGACATCTCCTTGATACGACTCATGAGGTGTGCATTACAAAATTCTTTGAAATTATCAATAGACTAAAATAGCTCAATTCTCTTCAAGTTCGCTGAAGCAATCTCTATCAAAAGCCTGAAATCCGATTTATGTGCGTTCGGAAATAAGCAGTTAGCAGTCTTTCTTTGCCCACCCGGTAACTGGATGTCTTTATTCTCTCTTTCACTTGACTACGTAATCTCTGCTTTTAACCTCTTGTCTTTATTACATAACTCCTTTACCATTGTATGCATAGACTGACTTTGTTTTGTTTAACCTTGAACTCCCTGTCAACTGACATCACGTGAAAGTGGTAATTACGTAAAAATTGTTTCTGTGCATAAACTTTATAATATCTTTATGCTCTAAGTAACTGATGAGAAGCCGATAAAATAAATGGTGGTACCGTCTTATACTGTATAAGCTGTTGTTCATGCTTTATTCAAATTTAAGTAATATTGTTCCATCCGACGAACTCTTCAATCTCCTCCCCTGAGATACCAGTCCTTGGTCAAACTTGAAACCAGTTAACTCCCTGCAAACTAACACTTGAAAATTAATTTGATGCTTACTATTGACTGAATACAGGATGGTGTTGCTTGAAGTTCTATTAAGAAACCATCATCAGTAGGGTCCATCAGATCAGGTGTCAGGAAAAATACTTGAGGATAATACTGGTTGGCGATGGTCCTAGAAAATCGAGAATTCGCAGAAGTTAGAATTCATGGGCTGGCTATTAGATTCTGTCGCAGTGGCTAAATGGTCAACGAACTCGCCTCTTAGTCCGATAATCCTGAGTTCAATCCTAGGTAGGGTCATGGGTTTATACTACTAAAGAGTACCTTTTGGTTTTCAATGGTTCTCTGACTGATATCAATCCGAAATCGAACTTGGAACCAATCAAATCCCTACAAACTAGCAGTTGAAAATACTTTCCTTTCATTTCCTTCGAAATAGATTGAAACCTGTTTAAAAATATTCATAAGTACAGATTGTGACTAAATAACATAATTGGCTGATTAAAACACAATGAAGTAGAGCAGAATTTGTTGTATTTTTACTGGACGGAAGATAAGGTAGTCCAGTGATTGAAGCACGCCGCCTAATGGGATAGGAGCTAACTACTTTTTGATATTGCGACCACAGTTCATATGAATTAAGGGATGAATTTATAAGTTTAATCCCTGTAACCGTATGGATACTTCTGCACTTAACAAGAAGGTTATAATAATAGCTGAGTAAGTCTGATGGCGTTCAATCTTGTAAACACCTCTACCCAGAAGTCGTGAAAGTACAATTCACTGAGCTAAATTTCCGTAGATACTTTACTTCACTGAATAAATGTGAAATAAGTCAGCAACCTTTTTACTTGGAATCTCTCATGAACTCAATATATACAGTGCGATATCAGTTAGTGAGTGACAACAATAAAGGGGGATGGGGTGTATATACAATCCCTAAACACTAAGGTACAGTGGATAAATATTATGTCTTAGTTCACGGTTGTCTGGTAGCTTCCTCCTAAGACGTAAGGAGTTTTATTGGATTGATTGGAGGATATACTATCATTCAACTAACACGTGCGTGCTAGAGTGCTTCCGAGCCACTCACTTCCTCTGCGTTGGATTACCGGCTGACTTACTGCTAAACCTCACTATGCTGATAGTAAGCCCGGTGAAGATGAAAGGTTGGGCTTTATATATATATATATATATATATATATATAACAGTACTGTTTTCGAAATCTTTCTTACATACAGCTTCGTCAAATTCGTAAAAGTTCTTATGGCAATAAAGAAACAGCAGCAGCTCGAATTATTTATGAAGCTCTTAGTTCAACAAGAACAATGTACGCCTATAATCTAGAAAATTATTTTTATAAACAGTATTGTTCTATACTCAATTCGGAAATGACGTAAGTGTTAAACTGACTCTTGATACTATTATTATTATTATTACTATTATTATTATTTGTGTCTGACTATTTTATTAAGATTTCGCCAAAGATGGAATAAAAATGACCATAGGAAGAAATGTCCACAGTAGATCAGAATTTTAATTTTACTATTTATCTGTATCATAACTTGATATTATTATCATTAACATACAAACTTGTTACATTGTGGGCACCAAAAGATGGCGTAGACGTGTTATCCGGCTATCGACCGAATGGGAGGTGTACTGCTCAGCAGTCCGCTCCGTCCTCCTTTACGGCTGTGAGACCTGGCCGTTGAGAGTGGAAGACATGAAAAGTCTAGCTGTCTTTGATCATAGGTGCCTGCGTTCTATCTCCCGTGTTAAGTGGTACAATAGGGTGAGTGATATTGACGTTAGGCTTCGGTCGAATGCTAGGTAGGGAGGGGAAATCAATCGACGAGGCTGTGAAGCTAAATCGACTGAGATGGTTTGGACATGTGTTACGCATACCTGCCTAGCCATCGCCTTCCTCGACAATGGGCAATGTTAGCCAACATAGGTTCAGGCTGGAAAAGAGCCGATGGTGGTCAAACCTAAACATGGTTTCATCAGTTAATGAAATCCACAATATTTAGTTTAAACCACGTGGGAAGATGTAAACTTCCTGACTGGTTGGGATCCTCGGGACGGTAAAAACCAATGGTTGGGAACAATTGGTTATATGGCTCAAAGTGATCGTTCTCAATGGCTGGCTGGCGCAGATGCATCCACTCCATGTGACTGATGATTTCCAATGAAACTGTTTTGTTCTTCGTTATTACTATTCCTTTGTCTCACACCTCTGTTTACTGTCTCTATAATGCATTTCTTCTACTTTCTTCTCTTGCTTTGTGTGCTACATGGAGGGAGTGTGTCGACTTGAACTGCTGCACATTGGTGTAAAGTTCTATGTTGAAAACAGACAGACAGCCACACAGTTTATATAAGGGTTGTGATACTTTACGAATACCTAGACCGAAGTAGATGGTTGTCTTGAGGGGCAACCCCCAAACCTTTGACTTGAAGTCTCATCCACAAGGCAGTAGAGCAGCATAAGGAACTACGTCCCCATAGTTTCCGGTGACCAAAGCAGATTCATACGCCATTGGACCCATTTGGATTCTGGAGCCCAAGTGCACCCTAGGTTTGGAATCAGGGTTTTCTAGCTGCCTTAGGTAGACCATCATGTCCTCCACAGTCCGGCTGTAGGCGCCAGATGTTCACATTCGCCTTTCCACACCCCAACCGCGGGAAGATAATGAATAATACTTACTTTGTTTTGTAATAATAATTACTTACTTTAACGATATTGGCTAATTATCAAGAGTTAGAAATCACTGGATTTCTGCTCACCAGATTAAAAGAAACATGTACATAGCAAGATTTGATCATTCTAGGCTGCTGGGTATCTTGGAGTTTCATGGGTTCACTTTACAGAAAAATCACAAAATAAGCCGAAATATGAAGTCAATTGGTGGATGGTGACTAGCAGTGGACTCTACCAGGATGCACATTTCGTCTTTTTGGGACTACTTGCCATCTGTAAGTACTTGCATCCCCCAGTGTGATGGCGTTCCGACCGAGGCTCCAATCCAGTCCCCAAGTGGTCTAGTGGATAACACTTTGGCGTATCAGTTATTATTTAATTCAATTTGGACTTTCTCGTTGGTTGATTGAACCGAATGCAGGTACATGCATATGACGAGTTCCAAATAGGACGAAATGCTCATCCTAGTGGATTCCACTGCTAGTCACTATCCACTAATTGACTTCAAGTTACATGACCAAACGTCGTCGAAGCATCCACACAAGGAGACGACATGTCAACCTCAGGCCGAGCACTTCAGTCCAATCCATTGACGGGAAATTCTAAAATTGAATTAAATAAGCCGAAATATGTTGTCCAGCGCTTCAATAACTAATGTCAGTATGTGTGTGCCTGACGATGTCTCCTTTGAAAGAATGTGATTTGACTACAATAAGTGTATAGATATTTGGAGGTGGTCGGCAGGCAGCCTTGGACCTAGGTTTCATGCTTTTTAGTACTCAAGAGCACGGTGCATCTACAGCTCCCTAAAGGAACTCATGTCCCCTCCGGGATTCGATCTTGCAAAGGGAAGCCACCTAACTTGATGACCACATTGAAAACTTGACTAATAGAATCCAATCTGCACCAACACCGGGGACTAGACGCATGAAATTCGTTACTTTTATATTTATCGAGCAGTCTGATAGCTGGACTGAATAAAGCTCATGTGTTTGTTTGTCATATATTCTTTTAAAAAACCTTGACTTCGTAACTAATAACTGTCTTTGTGTTTCTATTCTTTGTTTTTATCTCCTCTGTCCGTCTGACGCAAATGTTGCATAATAACGATAATAATCGATGCGCGTTTATATTTGTTAGTGCTGATAATCGTAGTTTCATAGTTTATTCATTTGTCTATGCATTGGCTCAATCATTACCAATATGTGCATATGCAGCTGCATTTTCATGTGGAGCCTATCTAATGAGTATTGAAGAGATCACTTTGATAGCGATATTCAGGTATGCTATTATATGTATGTGTGTATGTGTATTTAATATCTATTAGTTGATTTATATTGAAATTTTTGATTAAAAATGCCCATTGAAATTTTTTTAATAAAGGAATGGTTAATGAACAAAGAATATTCTTTACAGGATTTCATCATGAGCTGACATCAGTTAGAGAACCATTGGAAAACCTGAAGGGAGTACTGGATAGCTGTTTCGTCCTGGTTTGGGACTCTTCATCAGGATGTACCCACTGCCACGGTTCGAAACCAGGACTTTCTGCTTACAAGGCGAGCGAACTCGTAGACCATTAAGCCACTGGGACCCGATCCAATGACCAGTCCCTGAATTCCAACTTCTGCCACTTCATGAGATAGCGCAACCACTTAGCAGTGTCTTCTTCGATGAGTTACTGCCTCACCTTCAACCTGCTGCACCCTACTGGTCACGGCTTCCTACTAGAACCCCAGGTCACTCCCTGAATAGGACCAGTCTCCAGTGAGCATCTCATTGTCAGCTCATGATGAAATCCTGTAACCAATGAATCAAATCCCTACAAACCAATACTTGAAAGAATGTTCCCTTCGATAACTTCATCATCAGTTTCTACAGTTATATATCCAACCATAATAGTGAATGAATGAATGAGTGTTACCAACAACATTTATGCTGCTTAAATAATATCGAATCAATATTAACAATGTTAATGGATTACAATTTGATAGTATCAACATAACAACATACACTGAATATCAGAAAAATTGGGAAAGAAAATAATACAAATTTATGAATTTCTAGTCTCTACTGAAGGCGGGCGAGGGCATTAATAGTGGCTATCTGGACTTGCTTTTTCTGCACACAGAGCACCGCTTGTTTCAGGCGAATCGCGATAGCCTCTGTTGTTTGATGTACGCGGTACCTGTTGATGCTTCTCACTACACTTTTATCAAGGTGCACTAGTAGGTGTTCCCGAGCACGAAAAATTAAATTCCTACAGCAATGGCCAATGTGACTAAGAAAGTTGAAAAGGACTATTCACTATGCGTAAACAAGAAGCTTTTATACGTACGACTGGAATTCAAGGGTGATATACCTAGCGAAATAACTAAGAAGAAGTTAGGAAAATCAGTTCAAAGCACTTTTAATGCTGGTAAACTAAAAGTCATATTTTCCACACTACCGATGGCGATTCCTCAATTGAAAGATGAAGTACCTAGACTAGCCACATCTGACTGTATCTACCAACTCAACTGCGTTTGTGGAACGAATTATATTGGCCGTTGCTCTAGGAACGTGATTTTTCGGCTCAGGAACACCTACCAGTGTGGCTGAGCAAAGGTGTAGTAAAAACCACCAACAGTTCGGTATTACACCACCTGGTCTAAACTCACCACAAAGCCAGAATTGAAGAATCCTTCTCTATCATCTACAGGGCAGCAAATAAATTGCCAAAAACATCCAGGTACTGCATACTCCAAACAGCAGAGGCAATCACAATTCGCCTTAAACAATCAGTGCTGTGTCTGCAGAAAAAGCAAGTCCAGCCACTTCTACTCCCATGGCTGGCCTTTAGTGGAGGCTATAAATTCGTGAATTTGTATTATTATTTTTCCTGATTTCTCTGATATTCAGTGTATTGTTATGTTGATGCTATCGAACTGTAATCCATTGATATTATTATTATTATTGATTCGATGTTATTTAAACAGCATAAATGTTGTTAATGACACTAATTCATTTATTCCTTCACTATTATGTATATATAACTGTATAACCTGGTGATGAAGTCAACATTTATTTATTATTATTACCTTGAGCTCCAAGTGGAACATAGGACTTCAGAAGCACATTGCCATTTCAACCTGTTCTCTGCAGTCGTTTTTATCTGGCTCCACAATCCCTCACAGAACTTTCATTCCCTCTTTACACACAATCTCCTCCAGTGTCACTTTTGGACATACTACAAATTCGTCGTTTTTCATTTAGTTTCAATCTGAGGGTTACTCAACAGTCTCCCTAGCATATTTCCAGTCTGTCTTTATTTCCTTCAACATATTTGTTTGTTGGCCAACAGGTGTTCTTCTTTGGTTTGTTGGCACAGTTTCGTATTGCTTATTCTTTCTGGCCGATTATCTAATCTTAAGTATGAAGTGAAAGCATCCGTTGATGAAAGTCTGCAGTGGCATGTTGAAAATGTTCTCGGTGAAGCATTCGTCTGGTCTCTGAACAACGTCAGCGAGCTCCGGAAGTGGATACAGTTGTCTATCTGTCTGGATTCAACATAGAACTTGGCACCGAAGTGCAGCACTTCGAGTTGCCACGTTCCAAATAGCACACAAAGGTAGACAAGAAAATGAGTGAAGAGAAACAATAGAGTTTTGGCAAGTATAAGAGTGAAACAGAATGAGTAATGGTAGAAAGGAATATGAAAGATTACAGAGACTGAATACATCTGCGTAAGCCATTGACAACGATTTTGAGCCATGTCACCTATTGTCTCCAGCCATTGATTCTTAGAGTCCCGAGGGCCCCAATCCGGAAGTCTGCATCTCCCTACCTGACTCAGTTTAATTGTCAAAGATTTCATGGATTGATGAGGCCATGTTTTTGTTTGGCCACCACTTACTCTTTTCCAACCTGCACCTATATCAGCTAGTAATGCCCGTCGGGGGAGGCGATGGTTAGGCAAGTGCAGCACGTGAACTAGCCATTTCAATCTATGTAACTTTATAGCCTCTTCGATTGAAGTATTCGCCTGGTCTCTGAACAATAAAGAAACACTGACTGACATTAGTATTGAAAACTCTGATCTTGCTTCTTATGTTGAGTGCAAAAGATTTATACATTGATTTCAGAGTAAGGATGTTCTTTGTAAAAAAAATTATATTTGTAAAATCTCAGCAAGATTGAAATGAGTAATTCCAACGTTGCGTTCGGCAATCTGGTTCGAACTTCTTCAGGGAATTAATTGAAATTAACACAACAGAGATTTATATATAAAAGGAACATCTCTTGTTTTTTTAAACTTTGTCCAATCATGAGTCGTGAAACAGGTATCAACATGTATAATAAACATAATTGTATAAGCTGTGATCGAAATTTGACCTCGGACTTACAAATATTGGTCTTACAAATATTGTTAAACACTTTAAACAGAGTGTGTATGTGTGTGTGGGTAAACAGTTGTAAAATATTTGGTAACGTCTTCATAAGAAGATATTGACAATAGGGAATTTCGACCAAGTATTATTAATTAGTGATACATATCCATTTTTATTTATTAATAAGGATTTCCTATGCATCAGCTAACATCACATCTTCATGTCTGTTCAAACTGTTAGTATCTAGAATTTTATGATTAGACTTATTTTCAAAATTATGGTGTTTAGGATTACAGTTTAGTAGAAGCACCCTGTCGAACTTAGTACTTTGTCTTCTTTTTGAAGATTGAGCTACTTTATTCGACCTACTGGAGTTGTCAGGTGACTCAACAGCTACGGATTTAGGATTTGCATTCTGTTGTAGAGTGAAAACACGATGATTGTGCCAATTACACAGTTTCTTTGTTAATTTAATTCGATTGCAAAATAATTTAAGTGAACTGTCGTCAAGATTTGACAGAATAGTTCTAAAATATTTGGGCGCCGAGTGAGAAGTAGACATTTGTAAAAAACAAGAGATGTTCCTTTTATATATCAACCTTTGTTATGTTATTGTCGATTAATTTCCCTGAAGAAGTTCGGACCAGATTGCTGAACGAAACGATAGAATTACTCATTTCAATCTCACTGAGATTTTCCAAATGTCTACTTCTCACTCGGCTCCCAAATATTTTAGAACTATTCTGTCAAATCTTGACGACAGTTCATTTGAGAGTAATGATGTTCTGTTTTGCTTTTCCGATTTCAGCTGGCTTTGACATGCTTATTTCTGCCGACTGCTGGTAGTTGAAACGATGTTTTGTAGACAAGTTGTAAAGGTTCCATATTAGTTTGTTTATTAGGTATATCACACAGTGAAACAGTATTATTTACTGGATGACAATGTTTCGAACAAAATTTATTGTTCATAATCACCTTATCAATTATAATCACACGACTTCGAAACTTGAGTTTTATAGTTTTTTTTTTGTCTTCTCCTATTTGTCGTCGTAGGGGTAGTAGAATTTTCCAGATATCTAGGAGAGATGTTGAATCATTCCTATTACACGTATTTGAACTTGATTCGATAAACAAAGCTTCCGTTATCAATCTCTCCCTCCACCCTGCGACATTAGACTTTAAAAGCGTTATTTTATCCCATCCTATTGTATGGTTATGTGTAATTGCATGCAGTGAGTGCTATAGCTGAACTATTCCCCAGATTTCTTATCTTATTCGGGTCAACTAATCTAGATTTTGCTGGGTTTTAATGTTCTACTAGTTTGACCTATGTATTTGACCTTATAATCATTGCAAGCAGGATATTAGATAAACTAGATTGTTTTGTTTTAAAGGCTCCATAGGATTGATCCTTTAACCGACAAAGCTTGTTTCTAATTTTGTTTGTGGGTATAACCTCTTTAGATTTCTCCCGTTCGTGGTGACTGGTGCTTCGTGTTGTTGGTTGTCGGTTATCTTTATCACCTCTGCTCACTTGGAATCCTGTCTTCACTGCTTCTCCTGCCTGCCAACTTGTTGGTTTTCACTCGTATGTCTTCGAGTTTATTTGACATCGGACATAAATCATCCATGATGTCGAGATCTTCTATAGTCATCTTATCGGTTCAATATGTTCCTATCTTGTAACTCTTTTCTAATCCTAAATAATCTTGTCTCTAAAGACCCTTGTAATTTATATTCACACCTTCAAATTTCGGTATCAAGTTGAAAATTATCATGACCTTTAGCCGCCTTCGTTACTACATGGAATCAAATAACAATAAATGCAATTGTAAAGCTTTTGAGAGTGAAATCGTCGAAAAGACAGATATCTTTACTGAACTTCTTGTTCTTTTCTCTCCAATGTCCCGTTGGATATTTTCCGTGATTTTAAAACTTCGACAATGAAGGAACTCAATGGGTTTCTGCGTTACCCTGTCAAACTCGCCGAAGTGAATGCAAAATTGAACTTTTTAGAAAACTGTATTAAGAATCATCAATATCCCAGGTGGTTCTGTAAATCACTCCGGAGGCATCATATCCCAATTCCAAAACTCTTTAACGTTACACTAGAAACCGTATTGATTCTATTAGTTCGCGTATGTTCCAGTTTCAGAGAAACATATCACAGACGTCTTCTACTCTTTGCGAATTATCATCAAGTGAAAGAGAATCGTTTAATGAATATGTTACCTTGGTGCAGAGAAAACAAGCTGAGAATGTTAAATCAGACATGACCAAGAGCCTCAAATCCGTCGAAGTACAGAAGAAGTTCCTCCCCCTCCCCCCAATGAACCCAATAAATTTGTTTTCAATCACTCCTCCATATTTCTGGTATGAGTGATGAGTCGTTCCTATTGCACCTATTGGGTGTAGATTCTATGAACAAAGATTCAGAAATCACCCCCTCTCCTCGTACCTACATTACTCTTTAGAATGTCAACTCTGTCCCACTCTCTAGTGTTTTAATGCATGTAGTACCATTGCTGAATTAGCTATCTTCTCAGAGTCAATCATTCTGACAATCTGACTACTCCCGATCCCCTCGTTCCACCTATGTAGTTGACTTCATAATCATGGCAGGGTATTTTGTCGAATTGGGTCAGTAGAGTCCTTTAACCTACAGAGTTTCTCCTACCTGAGTGAGTTTGTATGTTCATCAAATGCCATTCTAATTCCTGCTTTATTGAGAATCCTGCTTAGCGACGGTCTCAGATGTCCCCTCCGTATGTGGTAGAACTGTAGATGCCTCATATTCTCTCTTATTTATGTTATCATTATTCATATAAAAGAAAAGAAGGCGTTCAGCGAAGAGACTCTTTTCGGCGAATTCATTCACTTAGCTGTACAGCTAACTGAATGAATTCGCCGAAAAGAGTCTCCTCGCTGAACGCCTTCTTTTCTTTTATCATTATTCGTTTCACCATTGTTTTTACTATGCTTTTGACTTCTTTGGACCTTCCTAGTGAATTTTATAGGATAGTTATTTAACACAAACTCCTCTTCTTCTATCTGTTTCATTTCATCGTTTAGGTCTTTTGTTGTACTACTTAATGCTACTGCTCGATTTGTTAGATACCTAACTAAGCCTACCTTAACAGTTAATGGATGACATGAATTAAAATCCATGAAACTAATTGTAACAGTTTAGTAAAGACTCTAAGGAATATGAATAATGTAATTGATTAGGCTATTGATTTCTGTCTACCTACCACTTAGTAGTGTTCTTTATCAATAAACGAAAGTGCTTAAAACAGAAATCATCAAAATAGTATACTTGACTTCAATCTAGTTTGAGTTGAATATTGCAATTGAGGTTGACATTGTAAAATTAAATTGTTCATAACTCATTATAAGATATTTATATTGAATAGTTTGAAAAACTTTAGACATTTGGTAAATGGCTGGGAGTGGTGACGTGCGCCTGTAATCTAGCTACTTGGAGGCCAGGGTGCGGAATTTGTGCATAGCAGTGGCATAGCAGTTAGGACGCTCACTGACCATGCACATGGTCCGACGCACACCTGATACCAATGGTCGGCCTGCTAAATTTGGGCTACCGATATCACATGCTGAAAATTCCGTACTTGTACCAAAAATACGGTGTGGAGTCAAGCTACAATAAAAAATTTCAACATATGATACTTATTATCTTAAAAAATTTTTGTGTTTCCCAATGAATGAAGAAAAAGTCGATATTGTCGCGATATAGTGCGACCGCCAGTCAATGTCATCGGGGAGTATTTCTCCTCACATCTGACCTAGTTGACTCCACCCATCACAACTTTTTACACTAACTGCAAGAACTTCATCCCGCAATGGCAGTGGCGTGAACTGGCAGAATTCGGGTGACTTGTTTCCGGCCTAGTAGTTGGATGACCAACAAACTCACTTCATAAACCGAAGGTTATGATTTCGATTTTCGGTCAGCACGTACAACCGAAGAAGAGTCCCGGGAGAAAAGAAATATCCTGTACCACCTGGTTTTCATTGGTTCTCTAACTGATATCAATCCAGGATCACAAAAGCAAATGTACTTCCAATAACAAACGATTATTTTAGAACCCAGTTAAATAGAATATACAATAATATGATTTGTATAAGTCGTTGACCTTTGACCTCATTTTTCACTTGCTCTGTTGTTCTTGTTTTGTTTCCCTTTTATATTTTTTATATAGGGTCTTCGCTGCTATCAGTTTCGCAGCTCAAGCACTTGGTAGAACATCACATATTGGCCCAGAAATGAAACATGCCTCACTGGCAGCTGATCGAATTTTCAAACTTTTAGATCGAAAGTCTAAAATACCTGTCAACGAAGGTTTATACCTTGATCAACCTTTAGATAGCATACCGATAGAATTTAGACAAGTCTCTTTCCGTTATCCATCTCGGCCAGAATCTTGGATTTTAAAGGTAATTTATCCTTGCTAAAGTATTAGGTCGTTTTATTATTTGTTTGTGCAGTTCTGTGAGTACTAAATTAGTTCTGTCCTTGGGTTTAGTGTGGAATGTAGAGCTTCACAGGCACATCGCTGTTTCAATCGGTTCCCTGCAATCTTCCTTAGCTGGCGTCACATTTACTCATAAGTTTTCATCTCCTCGTCACTCTCGAACACACTCTCAACTTGTCTTTTTTCCGTTCGGGTTCCACCCAAGTGCCTGACCTGTGCTGCCACTCAACGGTTTCCTCAGCACATGTTCAGCCCATCTCTATTTCTTGCTCAATATTTCTTAAACAATATGTTGTTAGCTCGCTCGCTACCTGCTAGAGTTCCTTGGTGCTTATCCTTCCCAACGGACTATCTGATCTTCAGGATTGGGTGGAGGCAGGTATTGATGGAAGTCTTCAGTAGCCTATCGGAAATGCCTTCGATAACGTGTGCATTGACTTAACATCAGGGTTGAGAATTTGGATCATTTTTCATCTGCTGAGTGATGTGGATGCCCACCTTACTTCCGCTATCCTCATCCGTATCACGTGTAGTTGACATGATACTGTCCAGGCAAGTAAAGAAGGCCACTTTATTTAGATTTTTCTCCGTTGATGGTGATTAGTATTCCTGGTGGTGATTAGTAACATGCTGTCTTCGTCACCTCTGTCCTCTTTATATTCACTTGAAGTCCCGTCCTCGCTGCTTGAATCTTCTTCCACTTTGTTGATTTTTGCCTGCAGATGTACGAGTTTGTGTGAAATTAGACATAAATCACCGTCAAAGCTCAGAACTTCTAGTCTTCTTGTTGGCTCAACATATGCTTTATTGGAACAGTGTAGTGCGTTTTAGCAAAATTTCAAACAATACATTCAACGTGGTTTACGTACACGGTGTGGGCAGCCGAGAAGTCACAACCGCTTCATCGGTCAACGAAATCCACAATAGTTGTTTTAAGCTACGTAGGGAGGTGTAGACTGCTATCTGGTTGGGGTCCTCGGGTTGGTAGAAACCGATGGCTGGAGGCGTTAAACTATGCTTCATATGTATGTTTTTATAACTGGCATCTAGCGTAGCATTACCAGTAATATTAAAAATTGCATAGTATAAATATATTACATATTATTATCAGTAAAAAGTTTGAGCATTGTGGATTAGATCAAATAAAGTATAATTATATTTCAATAGTTTACACACAATGATAAGTTTTGTTATTGGTAATATTTCGAGCAAAATTACTGCCCGTGTTCACGCCACTGTTGGAATTACATATGCCTAGCACCCATCGTAGATAACAATGTAGAAATCTTAACACAGTCGGGTTCTTTTAAGTTGCTAAATTGCACTACAATACGCATAGTACATTTCCAATTTATTGTTACTGATCTTAACTTATTTCTTAAGATCTGTAAATATTGATTTTAAACATCATAAGCAAACTGCTGATCATTTACTCTCTAGCTCTCTATACATCGACTATGAGTTGGTAATCTTATGAACGGGTACCACCTCTGAGAAATATTTTGTTTCTTCCAACTAATAGTCTACCTCAATTAGTATTGTTCACCATGGAAAGCAATAGTGAAGCAATGAATGTCCCGCCCATCTCAATCGGTAAAGATTTACGACCTCAAGTTTGATCACGAACTTCTTATTTCATTTGGACATCCATTGTAGACCAGTGAATATTGGATAGCTACTTCACCACCCTTTTTTGGACCCTTCAGCTAGCGGTCACATTGTATATTGGGAATTGTTGGGAGTATATTTTTGGAGTCCGTCCCACAGGTCAAATTGTCAGTGACCTCACCTTGTAGCCTGAAGGTTCTGAGTTTGACACATGATGTGAAGATTCCCAAACTACGAAGTAACAGCTGTCCAATACTCCGTGGTTTTCAATGGTCCTCTAACTGAAGTCAATCCATAATCACACTTGGCTGCAGGCTGCTGCACAGTACACCTACTGTTGAGTAAGCAAGTGAATATCTTCCCAGTGTCAGGGATGGTGAGCCATCTTTAAGATTTTACATTCGACCAAGTAGGGCGGTAGTGTCAACACTTCCCACCAATCTACTTTTCATACCAATCCCTCAGCAATTTGTCTAATATTACAGAGATGAAATACGTGCCAAACGTAACTAAATTCTTACTTTAGTTTCATCTTCATCCCATAACTGACAACAACTCATGGACTCTTTTATTGTTGATTAACATAAATTATTCTGTGGACAATTTCTTAGTGAATAACTATTACCAAAATACCTATCAATAAAGTCCATTACCTTGGTTGACTGTAGGCAATCGAGTGGAAGCCCTGGTAATAGGCGTCGTGCTTGTTGGCCACTCGTCAGCACAGTAGCGCATCTGCAACTTCGAAGGAACTGACGTCTCCTTCGATGATTCAAACTCATGTTCAATATCATCTTTAATAATAATAATAATTTGCTTTATTCCAAAAAAAAATAATAAATAATCATAGCTCATGGCATGTTTGCATTCTAAAACATATCAGAAAGCAGAGGTTTAGCTTGAATTCATTTACTTAACCTCTGAGCGTCTTTGAACTCTTATATTCAAAACAGGACATAGAGTGCAAGGGTGTATATAATGTGACACATTTCTATAGGCATTTAGTCATCTGTTTATTTTACTTACTACTAATTTGGGTTGATCAGTTTTCAGATACTGACGTTTTTCGTGAGTCCCCAACTGTAAATACATCCGGCGTGCTTCAGAACTCACACTACTTTTCATTTTTTAATGATGATAAACACTTGAAGAGCGCTGAGGGTGCATGACAAGGACGATAAGAGATGAAGGATCGATATTTAAGAAATGCCCTAATGAGTGTAATGATAAAATAAAATGCAAGGTCTGACCGGTAGCAGCTACTTTGACGTCGTGGTGGCGCTTGCATATCTCAATGACCTAGCAAGCTAAACTAGCTAGGACGAGTGTTCCAGGATGTCCTACCATGCCAGAAACGTCGTTTGGATAGCAGTCAAACTAAAAGCAGTTGCCGCCATAGTGTAAGTTGAAGGTCTGTGAGCGAAGTGACGTAACAGCAGCAAGGTATTCTCCTCAGATGACCAACCAGCTAGGATTGTGTGCTGTCTCTCCGGTCTGGGAAAGGAGAATTAGGGAAGGTTGACCCCGGAAACTGTACATTCCAGTCCATAGCCGGACGCAACTCCAAAAACTACTTCAAACAGGCTATGTGTGACCGGCCTTTATCAGTTGTTCCCTGAACTCTGCAACCACGCAACACTAATGTTAATTCTGTTTCAGGCACCCCAAGGAGAAATCAGTCAAAATGAGATGGTTCTTTGTGTCCCACCTAACTTTGACCAGAAAAATCCAGGCATCATATGGCAAAGAGTAATTAATTATTACTATTTTTGAATCACTTTACGTATGATGAAACAAACTGACAATTCAGCCTTGCCAAAAAGACAAGCTGTTTATGAAATTTTTAAGTGTGACCTGAACGCTTCAGTCACATACTTCGCATGATTGGCAGAAAAACCTGCTGAACATTCTCAAATTTAGAAGTAACAAATTGGTTTGGAGTATAGCCAAATGAAGTGAAATTGCTTTACGTCACACTTCATGCCTGAGTTTCGAAGTTTCAGTAGCAGTGGAGTTACCTGTTTCTTACGGGGTGGGGTTGTTAGCCTTATTCATAACCTTCCCTCTTTACTGGGTTTGCTGCCGGTAAAGAGAGGTTTAAGAGTGAGTCGGTCGGGAATCGATCCTCGGACCATGTGGTTTGCTGGTAAAGAGACAATTATTGTAGCTAATTAAAGTTAATGCACAAGGATTAGCTGGTAAAACCGACGGTGGAGATGGACTCATATCCTAGTGGATATTATGCAAAACCTCATACGACTGAACTGTAGCTATGACAAAGTATATAACTAGTGGGATTATTATTATTCCCCTGGGTTCCGACTGGAACATACAGCTTCAACAACACATCTCCACCTTGTTCTGTTTTCTGCTTTCCACTTCACCTGGATCCACGATTGTCTATAATCTCTTATCTCCTCCTCGCCACACGATCTCCTCCATATCACCATCGCACTGGCTACCCACTCGTCAGGTTCCATTGGGATTCCATTTGAGTGATCGCCTCAACTGAGCGCGATGTCATTAGACGGCGTCCTTTTAACGTATGCCCGATCCATCTACACCTTATCCGGCCATTCAACCTTCAGTATGGAGCCAGCGAAGCGGGCAGCTGTTGATAAAAGTCTGTAACCTGTTGGGAAATACTTTTTGTGACACCCAGTGGAAGTTTCTGACCCATATAGAAGAACTGACTGACTTCACATTTGTGTTGAAAATCCGAATCTTCTTCTAAATGCAGGCTGAGTACAGAAGATTTCCAAACTGTTTTCAGGTTGATGAAGACGTATCTTGCCTTTCCGTTTCTGCATGGCTGTGTCTGACATCTTCATCCGTTACAACTGCCCGTGGTGAAAACGATGCTTCCTAGACCAGTGAAGTAAGTTACTTCTGTCAATTCTCTCCCGTCGAGGGTGACTGGCGCTGGTTGTTGGCGCTGTTGGTTGGTTATCTTCATCACCTCCATCTTCTCTGTGTTCACCTGGAGTCCTGTCTTCGCTGCCGACCCCTTCAGTCAGTTTTTTTCGGTTTTCACCTGCAAGTCTTCGAAGTTTGTGTGACATCAACCATATATCATCTGCGAAATCCAGATCTTCTAGAGTCTTCTCATCGGTGGTCCTGCGTATTCCTGTCTTCTCACTCCCACGCACAGTCCGACGCATAATCCAGTCCACCACAATTAGGAAGATCATCGATGATAATAGACAGACAGTCTTGTCTTACTCCTGTATTCACTTCAGACACCTAGCTGAGTTTTTCGTTGTGGATCACGTGACATATGGCATTATCATATAGCTCGTGAATGAGGTTGATAAATATTTGGGGCACTGCACGCCGTAGTGTTGAAGTAGTTTCCAAATTACTTCTCGGTCAACGCTGTCTGTCGAAGGCCTTTTCAAAGCCGATAAATTTGAGATAGTGAGGGTTTTGATTGCCATTCTATGCTTTATTCGATGACGATGCATAGAGTTGCAATTTGATCAGCACATAACTTGCCTATCCTGAATCCAGTTGGCTGAGTTCTACATTTTTATTCTCTCCAGGATGACACTACTTAGTATTTTCCTTGGTGTGGACAAAAGTATTATTCGACGCCAGTTCTTGCATCGAATAAATAGCAATATCCTTTGGAGATATTCATCACTGTTCACCATATCCTGTCACCCTACTGTGATCGATAACTAGCCGTAGTTCTAATACACAAATTGCTCCTTTCATCATCTGTTCCAAGTGTCCATTGACTCTTAATTATTCCACAAATGTGTCGAATTCAGTTACAGGGTTAAGCACAAATGAAAACCACCTACTGTTAAAAACCTAAGATCATACTAAATAAATTATGTCATTATTTCCTTCTTTACAGAACTTCTCACATACATTTCAACCTGGTCGAAAGACAGCTATCGTAGGACTTTCAGGATCTGGTAAGACCAGTATACTAAGCTTAATTCAACGGCTTTATGACAATGAAAATGACAATTCAAGTTGTGGGATATTTTTCAATGGTATTAACAGTCGAACAATTTCACCGAAATGGATTCGTCAACAAATTGGTGTTGTTAGTCAAGAACCCCAATTATTTAATATTTCTATTATGGAAAATATTGCTTATGGGAATAACGCTATAACAATGGATGAAATAACCAATGCAGCACGTCGTGCAAATATTCATGAATTTATCATGAGTCTTCCAGAGGTAGGTAATTATTCAAAACTAATCCATAATGTCATTTGTTCGTGAAATTAATCCAAATCTCTATAAAACAGCCACGATTTACGCATCAGTCTCCAGTTGAATGATGACTCCTGGATAGATGTCCTGCCCCCCGTGTAAAGATGTGGGTCGGTTATCGAAAGCACTGGCTGATTGTAGAGCTATATCACAATTTGAAAAAGTTAGAATACACGGGTCTTTGAATTCCGCTGCATGGTCAACACAACCAGCTTAGTCCCGTAACCTGAATGTCCAGTGGGTTCGATATCCCTGGCGAGACCGTTGGAGAGTTCGGAACTAGAACGAGACAGCTGGCTGTCTAGTGCTCCCTGGTTTTCACTGATCTCTGTAACTGATGCTGGTTCGTAATGAATTCTAAATTCGAACAAATCCAGATCCCTACAAATATCGATGGTGCGTTGGCAATTCAGCGGTAGATTGCTCGCGCACCATGTACGTGGTTCGATCCCCGAATGATGCATTCCGTACCCTTGCTTAGCCGGTGGTAAGCCACCACTCTCCGCTGGTGGCACAGCGGTTAGGACTCTCGCCGACCATGCACATGGTCCGGAGTTCGATCCCCTGCCGACGCACACCTGATAGCAATGATCGGCCTGCAAAATTTGGGCTACCGATATCGCATGCTGAAAATTCCATACTTGTACCAAAAATACGATGTGGAATCAAGCTATAATCAGAGAATTATTAAGTGTGAGGTTAACAATCCCACCTCGTAAAATCATCACTGCTACCGGAACTTAACAGCTGAATCCTATGTGCCACTAGGAACGCAAAGGAAATGGAACGAAACTAAAAATATGACGTTACTTTTACGTCCATAGTGGCATCTTTTTCGAAAAATGTTGTGATATGCTTTCAATTTATTAACCATTAATCGCATGGAGGATTTCATCATGAGCTGACATCATTAATCTTAAGAAAATATGTTGTTCGATTACCCTGTTGACAAGTGTTCTTCATACATGATTAACACATGAACAATTAAGTTAGGATCGTTGACAGGTACTAAAGCGAAATGAAATTGTAAACTATAATAATAATTAATAACAATTATTGTATATTTCTTTCCCTTACAGGGTTACAATACACTAGCTGGTCCTCGTGGAACGCACATATCCACTGGCCAACGACAAAGAATTGCAATAGCACGCTGTCTTGTTCGTAAACCAAAACTTTTGTTGTTGGATGAAATCACATCTGCACTTGACTTACAAAATGAACAATCCATTCAAAATACACTCGCAAGTCTACCTCATGATTGTACATATTTAATGGTAACCCATAGACTACTTCCAACAGCACAAGTCGATGAGATCTTAGTCTTAGCCAATGGCAAGGTGATTGAAAATGGTACATTTGACCAACTGAAACAAACGAAAGGAGTCTTTTATGCCTTATTCTGTACCGAGGAAAACAACTAATCGAATCTTCATCCGGCCTGCCTACTTGATGACGATGATGATTATAAATCTCAGAATAATCTCGAAACTCACCCTCTTTCGAAGAGTCAGCAAATTTATAAACTCTGCACTAACGCAAAACAACCTAACTATATCTGTACACTTATACGCATTATGTAAATTTCACGTACACGACTTTTTTATAACACATTATATTACACAATAAATATTGTATATTTTAATTCAACTTCACAAGTTTTGTGGCGTTTTTCAGACAAGAAAAAAACAACAAAGGAAAGAAAATAACACACAGAAACAAACAAGTCCTTTTTAAATGCTTTCTGAAAGAATGTGAAGTATGAAATATGCAGAAAAATTTAACACTAGAGGCAACGAAAATGTTGATTTTCTTACATTGATAAGGACCGTGGTAATGGTGTGTGCACTGACCCAGTAAAAATGTCTTATGCATACACACAGAACACATTCAATCAGTCAACAAAGTTTGTAAGTGTGTGATTCAGTTGAAAGAATGTAGAATTTATAATTAACAGTAGATTACACAACACCAGTCCCACGAATGAGTAATATAACTAAGTGATCATCTTTACCATAGTCTTTTTCTAGTCGTGGAGCACTTTCACGTAGAAGACTTAAAGAGAAGTCACAAGGTGGAAATGCATATAATACTCCAGAGGTATTTGTAGCTTCTGTAGTTGAAGGAGACGCAGAATTATTGTTCTGATTTTGACCTGTAGAATTCAAAAGTACTACTCCAGCAGAATCTTTGGTTCGTAGGTATCCGACCAAATTCCGAAGGGGTCTCTGAGGCTGTTTCTCATTCTCGTGACTCCATACAGAATGTGTTGGGACGGCTAAAAGTATGCAGTAGCCAGAAGAACCAACTGTTTCAACACGTTGATTGACATCGTCTAGTTTTACGGGATCAAGTCTCATTCTTTGGGTAATTCGTAAACAGACAACTTTGTCCTTGCTTGCATAATCACTCTCATTACTATCATGCGCACCGTCATGAGATTCATTTGAGTCATTCTCATCTGCTGATGTATGTTTATCTTTGTTCGACCCCTTAGTTGCACGTCGATTATCATTCAGGTCTGCAGATGCTTCTGAATTCAAACCACGGTACATAAATTGATCAACAAGGCTTTTATCACCCCTTAAAACATGCATACGGCACTGAAAACTGCTCGATTTCAAGTAGAAAGCCCCGACCCAGGCTTTTGGGAGGCAAGATGCCAGTTGTCCGATATTAGTAGATGTATCTAAAGTCGGTGGGGTAGAGGGAGATGATGAACCCTCTCGAGATTTCGACGACGAGCGGGAACGTGACCCATTACGAGACGAATCAGCTCCAGGAGTCGTGGAGTGATCCCGCTGATTACGCCTAGACGTTCTTTCATGTGTGGCTTTCCGAGACTTATGAACAGATTCCCTCTTATGATGGGATGGTGAGACAGAACGGCTGTGATCACTTTCATCATATGATCTTCGATCACGTTTGTACTTTGAATAATGATTGTTTCCATGGGAGTATGCATTATCTGAGTGAGAAGTGTCCCGTCTTGTTCGAGGTGTTAGCGATCTTCTTGACGAATAATGTCTTGAATTAGACTCTGTGGAAGAATCTCTCTTTAAACGTTTCCAATTAGGATCTTTAAACATATGTGATTCATCAGTAAAGTCTACTCTGATTCGTCTGTGACTATTTCCTAATGGATATCCACGTAAAAGGTCAGCTGCAACAGCAGCCAATTCACTGTTGGCATAAAGGATATGAGCATAATTTTTGCCAGATGGCCATATAATTTTCTCAGGTGAACTAATGCTATTAACAAGGGTTGCAAATTCAGGATAGTTTGTCCATGGACCTAATCCACCAATCCACAGGCATCTTGTGGGTATAACTTTCCCATAACCAATCTTGAACCTGTATTCACCAATCATTTGACCGGATAAATTAACTTTTGCACGATGTGCCATATCTAAACTAAGATATCGGACAAAAGCAAACGCAGTTGCTCCATTCTCCAACTCGCGGCGTTTAATATCAATATCTTCAATGATACCATAACGTTCGAAAAGTTTTCTTAATTCAGGCTCTTCAACATCCGGCGGTAAATTGCCCAGAAACAATGTTCTTGTTGCATGAGGATCATCTTCAGGATTGCGATGTTCCACTGGACGAGCATAACGGGCGTTAAAAATGCTAACCAGGTCTTTTTCTTTACTACCACCTCTAGGTTTTCGACTGCTTCTTGAATCATCATTTATATATCTATCAGATGAACGACGAACTGGTCTATTGGACGGTGAACCATGACGACGATCACGACTTGTTCGAGTTGCAGACGCTAACGCTTTGGTAATATGAGACATTTGTTTGCTAGATATTACTCCCCCGGCACCTAAGGCTGCAGCCATTGCGGCAGCATTCATTGCGGCTGCTGCAACCGCTGCAACTGTTGCACCGCTAGAACCGGGTGGTAACGGAAGGTTAGGCAGTTTGCCCGACGATGCTAAACTTGCGGCCAACATAGGATTAACTCGACCAGAAGGATGAATTAAAGATCTGGATGAGTGACCGGACATTCGTGATGATGGAGCATATGATTTTCTTGAACTTGGATGACCACTAAAATGATGCACAAAAAAAGTTGAAAAATGAATGAGACTATTTATTTTCGAAAATTCTCATATAGGTTATTTTTATCAGGTACTTTCATTTTTAGATATGCACACTACAAAAACGTCAAAAAAAGACTATATATGAAACGTAAAAATTGTAAACGTAAAATTGTTATTACACATAAAAGCACAAGAGTGTAGCATAACAATCTTCATATACTCTTCAACTTTTTACACTCTCAGACCGCAGATGAATGGTTAATATAACGTATTTTACAAGTCAGCTTATAGGTAGACAACAGAACCTGGTGTAACACTTTTTTCAAAATAACAGTTAGTACTTTTAAGACAGTATTAATATTTAAAAACCATGTATTTATATTCACTCAATGGAGTTTGCCAGTAAAATTAGTAGACAGTGGAAGGTGAAAAATAAGTATTCGACACATTGAGCATAGTAAAAGAAAATTAGTCTAGAGTTTTTCAACTCAATTAGCACATGAATAAACCAAAAACCAGAAAACAGGACGATTACACCCCCCACAAATTGAAACAAAATCACGCGAAAGGAGTCATTTTCTCTAGAAAAACCACATTCCTGCATAGATGATTCGGCACATTTTGAGACAGAACACAAACACTTTGGACTATATTCAGTAAAATAAATGACTAACTAATCAGCGCAGTATTCTGCAGACATGTAGATCACATTCAGTTATCACAATTTGAAAAACGATGTAGAAGAAATGAGGATTTAAACGTAGTAGCACAATGAAGTATATCTCATTCGCTTTAACCTCTTACAACATGAATACATACATCTAGAAACCTAAGAAATAAAACACAGTGCACCGGCCGGTGTAGTGTTAAGCTACATCATGCATGACAAGCTCATGTACTAATCAAGGAAGTCGCTCGAACATTTCAGATTGCTATAATGCTGAAATTATCTATGATAACAGCATGAGGAAATTTACAAAACCGCTACCTCATTTGATTTTCATGCGAAAAGCAAATACTAAACTCAAGAAAAATCATACATGTGGAAAAAATAGAAGCCTATATATATATATATATATATATATATATATATATATATATATATGAGTGAAAACAGAATAAATCCTTTTTTAAATAATTTTTAAATATCCTACAATGTAGTTCCGTACGTATAAACCTAACGGAAAAATAGGGTGATACAACACGATATTATTAGATACGAGGCCTACTTATGACGCCGGGGATCTCAGGGTAAATGAAGAACTGCAGGAAAAAAAGTTTTCGTCAAAGTAATCTCATGTCGTTTCTTGAGGACTGAGAAATAAGTCTTGAAATGAATAAGATAGCTGAAACTTCACAATATGGGAAGTACAACCAATTAATGCAACTCGACAGGAATAAAACAATTTACTTTTTTTTACTTTGCTTCGGCTATCTCCTACGGAAGGATGAGCCGGCTTCATGAACTTCTCAAATCATCGCTACCCAGGCGCAGCGATCTGACGAAGAGAGTTTACGAAGTTTCATGGGAATTTGGTACGAGTGATGTCCCCAGAACCACTCGGCCTTTTGTTTGAGAGTGCAGCTCTAGCCTTTACACAACCAAGTGTGACCTACAAGGCAGTAGGAGTGGAGTAGGGAGTCCACTATCCATTGGCAGCCGGTGACCGGAGTTCGGTTCATACGCCTTTTTGAATGGGGCCAGACATCCAGGAAATCCAACAAGCCCTTTGTCCATACGTCTACCGGTGAGCTCCAGTGAGCTTCATACGCCAGTCGTTGGAGGTTTGGAATCAGGGTTTAGCCATCTCCCCTAGACTGTCATCCAATGGACAGTCAACCCGGTGAAGAGCGGCGGGCATCCGCTTTCGCCCTCTCACTTTGGTGAAAAACACCTCCGCCACGTGAAGGCAGTGAGTAGGACTTCCTCAGGAGAGGCTATGTAGGACGCCCGGTCATATGGAAGCATTTCAAGAGGTGTGCGGAGGGGTGGCCAACCCGCAGCGCAAGGCACCCACCCCCGACCATCCTGAGGCTTTGGAGGCTCTGTATGGTCAAAATATGAGCCACCCTTATTGGCTATCAGTACACTACTGATTATCATGCAAGCCTCGATAAGTTGAAAATACAACAGCTCGTCTCCAATTTTTATCAATTCTAACAGTTACTGATATTGATAAGTCTTCCATCGTGGATGAAATTTATTTTGATAGTCTTACAATGTCATACAGTAATATTTACTGGTGACGTTTTGAGCACTCATAATCATAGTCAACTTGATATGATTATAAGCAATGAGTTGTGCTCGAAACGTTATTAGTTGATATTACTGTATAACAATGTGAGGCTTTATCAAAATAAATATTATCCACATTGGAATTATACTCTAACACAGTGCACAAGTTCTATTCTCATTGGCAACTTTTGTTGTTTCAACACAATTTTTTACTAGTTAGACAATGGTTCAATAAGGTCATGTGCTAAAGCAGTACCAGTAGTAACAATTATGGAACGAATTTTAGACGGGTCCCTTTGAATTTCTTTGCAAAGCTTGTCTGGAACTCAGTTTTATACATCAGAAGTATTACAAATATAAGGAAGAGTAGAAGACGGCACTGCTTAGTATACTTGGTTACCAAATTAGGACTCAGTTACCCTAAACAAATTATTCAAGCATAAAGCTGTGAACCACACATGTTGAGTAAACGATGAAGATATTGTCTAACTTCCCGGTTTGAAGTAGGTGGATTCACGCCCGGGACACAGGTTGGGAGTCGAGTGTTGAGGCCAGTGAGCGACACCTCCAAATACTAAGCACTGGATCATAGGTCCTAATTAATAGTATGGGCTCTAGTTGCACTGTGTCAAACACTAGGCTGAGGAAAACATCAACGAAACAAACGCGTTCTAAAAAGGAAATGGTAAAACTTACGTGCACCAGACTTCCAGCCATAGAGAATTCAAAACAAGTCAACTATATACTGATGTTTGTGTGATATCCCCATTCTTTTGAATATGAGACCATTTAGATACTTACATACCTCATTTTCGGACAAACCGTGTCAATTAATTGCTTATTGAACAAATTACAAATATTACCATAAACGAACAACTTACTGAAATGGCCAATCATATAATTCTCCAAATGCTTTAACTTTTGAGATAGGAATCCTTCTTAAAGCTCTTCCTTCGGTCATTTCACAGCATTAGTGTTTATCTTAATACTTTTTTTCAATATGTACACAAAATTAGTTTGCTGAGAAACATTTTATTCTTCGCTAAAGCTGCAATTATAAAATTACTTGTTAACTAAACCGGATGAGCGACAAGTGGACATTAGATGGTGATTTCAAATCAGACAGCATACATGCCTAAGGCCAAACCTGACGAACACTTGGGATGACTGAAGAACAAGCATCTCAGGTGGGACATCGTAGGAACGAAAGTTTGCATGATTAATATGATTTTCTGCATGAGCGATCTCATTAAGAAAATTTGATTTCATAAGAATGAAAGATGCGTTTACGAGACCAAAACTTCATGCTTTTTAGGAACAAAACACGACCTATGGCTCGTCGGGCGTATTTAATCACCATATTTGTGTCAGCAAATTGAATTAGATTCAATGTCGTAAACAAATGTCCCGTTTGCTTTCAGAAACAAATAACCTGTAATAGAAAAATGACATTCTCTCCCATAAATTAAATGTGTGCAGCATAATTTGTTGCTCTTCTTTATTCATTGAAGAAACAAGGACCATTTGAGCAATGATGTTTGTAATTTACATAAGGATTAGCATTATCCAATGTGCTGTAGAGTAAACGATAGGACAGTTGCAGCTGCCACCAGCTGAAAATCTGCTCCAGAATTATTCATATGAAATACATCAGATTACCATGTGTTCAACAACGATAAAATTAAAACCAACAATTAGGACAAAAACTTATGTACTATGCATTGTGACGGTGATACTGACATTTTGGTACCGTTAGAATGAGTTAAATAACGGCGAAGAAATGAATGGACCAAATAATTATTTATTAGTAGGAAACATGGATAATGGCGTCTGAAGTCCAAGTTGGTAGACTCACATTACCAACATGTATGACCATTCGTAACAACTCACGTAAACTCAATACATCACATACAAATTACCTGAGCGGATTAAACGAACGACTGCTTGTGTTTCCCCCGACAAACTTCGAAGGATTAGGACGCAGCAAGAATGTTTGTCTTGAATTATGATGATCATGTTTATCCACTGTTGGCCTATCTTCACGTGAAGGCCGCCTAAGTAGGGCTTTCCGAGGAGGGCTTTTGTGCTTCTTGGAAGAATTGACGTATCCATTATTATCTTCACCGTCAGATACACTAGGAGCACGGGCCTTCTTGGCACGAGACGACGACTCCTCCCTGTGATGTCTTTTCATCCTACGAAGGAGAATTTTGAATTTAGCGCTAGTACTCCATGATGTTTCCAAATCCCAATTGTATAGTTTGTCCCTTTTCCAATTTCATTTTCATTAAAGTGAGAAACTTAAGTTCTTTTAATTTCACTTCATTATTACTGAAGTGTAAATTGACCAAAATATTGCCAGGTATGCTCCAAATACGGGAGCATATAATCAGGTTTGGGAATTGTCTTTACTATGAATGAACCAGTCATTTCCTCAGCGGCCGTTGGTTCTATAGGCTGGTCCAAAACTCTTTGAGACGATCAAATCACAATTAACCACTGGCTGCTTACTATAACTCCTCCCTCTCAGATTACCTGTCATAGCATAGGGGTTAAAAGCGAACCGTTTTTAAAAGGTTGAGTCTATATTCATCCCTTTAAGTTTAACAGGTTGGAATTCCTCTGAACACGACGGTTTACGCCAACTGTATACAAGCAAATTTCCATATGAAATGAGAAACATCTTTCGTTTAATCGCCATGAAAATGTTGCATACGGTTCAGCGATTCGAGAACAAAGTTGGTGTAGTTTTTTAATCGTTGGTCTGCCAGACTCAGGTGATAGTTCGTCTAAAATGGTGTCAGCGTATTTTAATTTTGAGGTGGCTTTCCATGTTCTGAGCAGTATATGATCCATTCTAGATTCCATGCTTCCTGTTCACTGGCTTTGTTGTAATTTCATAGCACTTTTACATCGGTGATCATCAAGTTCCATGAAGATTTCTTCCACGATTAGTCCAGAGGGTATGCACGTCTATACACAATCAACAGTTACTTTATTTCTCAAAATCCACTTAAGGTGTGACCAAATAAAGATTATTGATGTGTTATTTTCGGATTGATGGTTGTCGATAAGTGTGTTCATCTATGCGACGTGGTACACTTGAAATTGGTGACACTTTTGCACGAGTTTTCGCTGATATTCATTTAGTGCATTCTACAATACTACCACTAAAAGTATTGGGCCAAAACTCCAAAAAGCGTGTTCTTAAGAACCCGCGTAAGTGAGAAAATAGCTTAAGCTCTTCTAGTAATATAACAACAGAAGATAAGGGCCAGGCAACAGATCGTTTATTAAGGAAATCAAGGCATACTTATATATTTTCATGTACATTATTATAGTTTAGTTAAGCAAACAACACAGTCTTCTGATTGGTTGTTTCTCACTTAAAGTTAATCTTTCGTCTCTTTGTGAGTGTTTCTTGAATGCCAGATCATTTATATGTTAACTGTATCCGCCTACGCAAAGTCTGCTGTGGTCGGTTTTGAATCAGTCTTTGTTCATATTTTCTCACGACAAATCTTGAGAACGTAAACATTGACATAAATTACTGTCTACCAATTTGGCTAGTAGACAGCTCTCACCACATTAACACATTATCATCCCTTAAATCAGTTGTTATTATTAATTCACGGAATACAATCTGTTCCAGCATAATGCTAACCCATGTAATACAGGTGAAAGTTATCTTTTCAGAAAAGGCAGAGATTTCTAACTTGATCTGCATCATAAATGACATGCAGCTACAAATTAATGATTTCAAGTTGAAACTAAATCCACTTGACCTGGTACCAGAAACCACCTTGCATCTTAAAAATGAACTGGGGGACCTTACTGTCCTAAAACTCTTTAAGTCGAGGACTGAACCAACCCATACTGAATCGGAAAGTGCTAAGGAACTAGAGAACCTTATGGATCATTTTCGAGCGAAATTGTTAAAAGACTCGCTTCTAAACAGAACGACATAGTGAACAACACGCCCGACAATGAGCCCACAAAGTCGGTTCAACACTCCTTATTAAGGGCTGCAAGCCTAAGTAAACTCTGTCAGCCTATTCAGGTAAATAAGAACAACCCGAACCGCACATACCCCATACTATTCAGATTTGACAGCTATATTATAGCCGAACAGTTTAGGAAATCTAGTACTATTTTGGTCTCTTCTATAATGTTTTTTATTATAGCTTGATTTATAATAATAATATATATTTTCATATAAACATAAATTTACATGAAAATGAATGCCATTTTTACAGGCACGATCAAGTATGATAAAATCTCAAATCATAGATTGTCTACAAGTTAATAATGTTTCAACAGCTAAATATTTGATATAAATATAAATACACTCATTGTCTGACCCAGGTCGTATCATTATTGAATTGAACAGTAGTCCTCCAGGTTGCGCGGGAAAATCGACTTCATTTCGTTTTCAACCCGTAGTTGTAGGCATACGATAACCAACCAATATTGAGGTAAGTACAACGTTTACAAGGGATAGTAAGCTGTTTTAGAAAAGTAAAGATGCTAAGGTGAATCATTAAAGTGTAATGAAATAGGTGAGTGCAATGTATCATTAATATATGCATTCATAAAGGAAATAGAATGAGAGGCTATAATCCTTAGGCTGACAACGTTCATTTGCAATGTATAATGCTACCCATATCATGACAGTACTGCTCATTGAAGGGTAGCACTAAGTTGTGTTGGTACAAGTAACTCTGGAAACAATTATATTAGCAAACACATATTGTAATATTTTACGCATATATATATATATAGTTAATAATACACTGCTGATTTTTGTGTCGAAATGACTATACCCAATCAATAACTACCTTTTCTCATATACTTTTCTAAAACGTATTATTTTATAATATTTCGCAGTATTTTTCACATGACATAAGTTGAAGAGTTACTTTGCAATGTCTGATGCACACCATATGAAAATTGGTGATGGAAATTTAGCACAACTAGATCTGTAGGACGGCAACATGCATTTTTTGACAGCTCGAGAATTAAATATTAGTCTGGACCCTCAACAAAAAATAACAGGCGTTGTACAGATCTAAATTATAAATAAAATCTTGCTTTTGCTCCTACCATCTACAAGCCTGTTCAGCTTCTTTTCAAGATGCTACTTACTGGGCCCTACAGAAATTCGTGAGACATCTTACAGGTCAGCTTGTCCTACGAGTTTTAATCTACCAGATCTTTAAATTCATTTCTCACTGAAATATCACTTATCTACCTCGCAATAATCTTTTTATTTACGCACTATTGTACTCTATTTTGTCTTAACTACCTAGGTCTTTATTAAAGATGAAAATTACTCTTTGTTCATATTCGTTGCTTGCTCAAAGTCTGGTTGCTTTGATGAAAAACACAACGATACCAATGTTTTAACAAAGCTATATTTCCATCGAAAACGTCATAGTTTCCATGCTTAGACCAATATGGTTAGCATTAAACATTGCAAATGTATACTATCATTTCAAGTACTATATAGCTTCTTCTTCTTGTATTTATCTTGTAAATACATTTCCAATAATGTATTATTCATAATTGCATTTTATACCATTTTGCAGCTGCACAGAATTTTATTCTCTTCCTGAAATAGCTTGTAATAATAATAATAATGTATTTCATATAAATTTACAAATTTACATGAAAATGCATGCCATTTTTACAGGCACGATCAAGTATGATATAATATCAAGTCGTAGATTGTCTACAAGTTAATCGTATTTCAACTGTTAAATATTCGATACATATAATACACTCATTTTCTGAATTAGGCCGTATAGTTATTGAATTGTACAGTTGTCCTCCAGGTTGAGCGGGAAAATCGACTTCGTTCCGTTTTCATCCCGTGGTTGTAGGCATACGATAACCAACCGATATTGAGGTAAGTACACCTTTTACAAGGGATTGGAATCTGTTTTAGAAAAATTAAAGTGCTGAGGTGAATCATTAAATTGTAATGAAATAGGTAAGTGCAAGTATCATTAATAAATGCATTAATAAAGGAAACACCCTAGGGTAACAACATTCATTTGCAATGTATAATGCTACAGATATATCACAAACTATCATGATATCCACTTTTGGTTTTAATACAATTATCCTTATGCCAGTTGTTTTTATTTTATACCTTTTTGTGCATTTAGTGCACAACCGTACCCTTCAGAGAGTAGGAGTATAATAAGTAATGAAGAGCTATAAGATGTTAAGTTTAATGGAGTAAAATGAGGATCAAGTAAAGACGTTGTCAGAAAATAAATGAGATAAGACATTGTGGAGTGGTATGAAAAGATCTGACGATAGACAGCAAGTTAATTTATAAGATGCCCCATAAATCTGAGCAGATCCCACATGGTCGCATCTCAACAGTAGGCTGGGTGAATGGTATATATTTGAAGGTAGAAGCATGATCTGTCAAGGCGTTCATTGTTATCTTTTTCAAGATAAAGATTTAAGCCCTCATAAAAATCAGAAATATCTCGAGCCTTCAAATTTTTTAATGCTGTGATCACGTGGTAACACAGCACACCAGGATTTACGCTGTTGACCATAACTATCAGCATGAAACTGAACGAAGTTTCGGTTGTCGCTCAACTTTGGTTGTTATCTTATTAGAATGTTTACAATTTAGCTTTTATAAGAACCTGTTCTGATAGCCTGTACAATGATTGAAGGATTCAAACTTTTGAGATAGTATTAATTTATGATACTTCAGGTTTGTAATTTATCACATAACTGACCATTCCTGTAAAAATGGCATGCATTTTTTGTAAACTCCTCCGTTTATACGAAATGTAAATTATTATTATGAACAGAGTTCGGCATTCTCCGCCTTATAGTTGTCGTAGTTGAATGGATGAATGCTAATGGAATCCGCTCAAACCCCGTAACTATTCCGAAGAAACAAGTAGTGGCAGTTAGGAAATCATCAATTCTAAATAAGCTCATTAAAATATTATTGAACATTGAGGTACTTCAGGTGATACCGATGGGAATTCTGTGTTAGAGTCAACCGTACACGGCCATTCTAGCCTGTTGTAACGGTAGTTTCACACAGTCCCATCTTAGATCCCCTAATGTTCTCCATTTTTATCGGTGATTTGCCATATTTTCTGAAATGCCCACTTCTTCACAACGCTAGTGACGTAAAGATTTGAAGGACCAAAAATTGTCAGGTTGTAGACAGATCTGAAAACTTTGGGAGACTATGCATGGCTCAGTGGTTTGTCTTTTAATCTAAGAAATGCAAACGAAGCAACAACATATCGACAAGTCGCAAAAACTAGGTTGCCCCTCGTGTGAAGGCAACTTGTCTCATACAACGTCAGAATTACACTTAGATCTCCTTCCAGTGGAAAGACTGGATACAACCGTCAGCTACCCGGGTGATTTTGCGACAGTATATGCGGTTACACAGTCCACACGTAAAAAGTCAAGCTCACACACTTCTGAGCTTCTGGGATTTCATCAAACACACATACGCCCGCGCCTTGATGTACACAATATTACTGTTCCCCCGTTCATTTATTGGATGCCTGTCTTTCGAAAAGGTTGAAAGATGGCCGATAAAACGGATTATGGACCTCCGGAATTAACTATCTGATGAAAGGTTGAGGAAGTTAGACCTTTTCATACTTACCTATCATGGGCTTAGGGGTGACCAAATTACTGATTTCGAGCTTGCAAGTGACCGGAATCACCTCAACGAAAGTCTGTGCCAGTGAGTCATTGCAGGCTTCGTCGAGACATCCCACGAAGTATATCACATCAAAGAGAAAAGACTAGAGCGCACTTTCATTCCTTTCTGCCCAGTTTACAATCCACGGGACTACTTGCGAGCATGTAGTGGACCTAGTAGCTAGGTAAGTATATAAACGCAATTAAAAGGACAGAACAAGTACTAACAAATACGTGTATTATAAAATATTCAGTTCACTTAAGTTAATATACACAAAAATAGGACTGAGGTTATTTGAAGAAAACTATAACAGTCACAAAATACACAAATTATAGACGTACGAAATTATAGGAATGTAATTGTCCTTCTCTTGATTATACAAATTCTCCACTACAACTTAGCGCTGTCAACCGTTGGAAGGATCCACGTAGAGTAAGGCAGATAGGAGCAAAGTTCTTGACGGGGATGTGTCAACCAGTGCGAGGCAGCGTTGGTCAGCAGATGTGCTGGGCGAGCAGCCGGAGAGATGGCGAACGATTCGTTCCTTTCGCGCGGTTCAAGGTTTTTAGGTTGAATTCCTTCTTTTTTTCGTGAACATATAATTTGATATGTTTTTAGGCCGCCACAAGCAGATGTGACCACTGCAACCTTCGTGAAGAGATGTAAGAGGGGAATGGATAGTAATGCAGAGAAAAATGGACTATATCCAATTGGGTCAATGCCTTGAAACTCACACAGCACACTCAATTAATGAGCATACATTTAAGTTTTCCCTTTACCACTGTCCATTCTCCCTTGTCTTACTCTTCTGGCTACTCTTCCAATTCATTCTCTGATGTTATTTTTATTTTCATCTTTAGTTCACTGGTTACTAAATTCACTTTCCGTTTCTGTACGTCTTCCTCCTCAAGTCCCTATAATCTACACTAATTGTGTGAACTATTAATACTGTGGCTGTAGATAATTCCCCAGAACTGTTGGTCACAGCATTCGTCACTAAATATTGGATTCCAATCCCCACTGTTTTGATCGACTTGTTTAGCTGAAGGCTTTCGGTCAAGCGTCCACGCCATTTGGCACACTGACACGTTACGTTCGTTAGTGCACGATCCCTAGCTAGTTAAGCAATCATCTTGCACTCGGACTTGGTCCCGAAGTATAATTCGTAATTTGGACGGTCAATTCTGGTGTTTTGTTTTGATTTTGGTTTACATGGAAAGAGTACTATAGAAGTTGTGGGTATTAGATATTGAGTTAGTATACTTCGTACTATCCATGAACGTCAACACCCCTAGCCTGTGAACTACGATTGTTCTTATTACTCCCCTTTTTATTATTACTATCTCTCTTTTCAACCATACTGGATGACGAACAGGTCAAGGGATCAACTTCATACATAGAAGTGAAGTGGTCTTAACAGAACACACTGAAAACTACATATAATTGATCCTCTCACCACTCTCCTTGGTTTCTTCAAAAGCTACGACAGCCAATTGGGGGCAAATACTACGCAGACTTTTGCTAAAGGTAACAAACCTTTATTATACAACCAAGAAGAAATTAAGAAGAAATCATTTTAGTGAACACAATATTGGATATTGAATTAGTGAGTTGTTTGACTGCATTGTTTTGGTTAGTGTTGTTATAACAAGATTTAAGCACTCATCTGAAATTGACATGCATCGTAATGCCATTTTCTCCGCTTGAACTACTTAGTGACGAGAACCTTGGACGTTTTTCAAAAGATGTTGCTAAAGCTAACGAGGAAGTTTTAGAAAACCGAGGAAAACACAATGGAGATGAGAAGTCATCAGTAGAGGGTTTGTTCGCAATTTTCCGACTTCACGATTTTAGTTACACTTACTAAACTTTTATCTGAAGATATTCGGAATGGCTGTCAAACAACATTTGATCACAATACAAGTGCTCAGTTTGATGCAGATAGTCAGAAAATCAGTTTAAGCCCTGTGGAGAATATTGCAAGTACATTATACTAATTGAAGGATAATTTGTAATACACTTAGAGTCCAAAAGGGAAGTATTGCCCGAAAATTCCTCGAACTCAAATTGGAGATCTGTTCCAGACAAATGGGAATTAGAAACCATATATATACCCCAGGGTAAGTTTAATTTCTCTGCACTTAGCTTTTGAGTGCTAAAATAATCAAATTCGGATTTATTGATTGGGGGTGGGGGGCTTGAAACCTATGGTAATCCATTTCCAATAAGTTATCGCGCCTGTCCAAACCCTTTCTGAATAAATCATTCTTAGTGTTTAAGTTAACTGGCATCACAGCTTGGCTTCTTTTTCTTTTCTAGTACTTTTTTAACATGGGTACTTATCAGAGGTGTGTATGAAAAAATGAGATTCAGACACCATAATTTACAAGAAATTATACTGCCGTTTTTCTTCTTCCGGGGGGAAATAATATTGCAATCCATCAGTTTTTTTGGTGAGAAAACTAAGATTAGCCGACCTCCGCTTGAAAAGCGTTGTGTGGTTACCAAAATTTAAGATTAGAGAGCAGATAAAATACATCTCGTGCCTGATGTTCCAGAAATAATCAAAACTACTCAAACTCAGATTTTTTGGAGCTAAGGACTTAGGAGTCGTATTAATTTTTTCATTAGTAATTTAAAGAAATAAAACCTTGTCTGTTCCACAAGATGGTTCCCAGATTTAATGTTCATTAATGAACCCCATAGATATGGTTCTATTTCTATTTGTACTCTACCGATGTTTGCTTTGTAAGGATTAGAAATGGAAATAATAGACATATTTTAAGAATAATTGTTATTGACGACAATAATGTCCTTCAAATTACAAAAGCTTCCAATAGATGTATATGAATATATCGCTGATAGTTTACAGTTCAGAACATGTGTAAGTGACAATATTCCTAAAATATCACTAAGGTGAACATCAAATATTAAAGGTAAATGACCATCAGTCATAATGAATATACGGTATTGGATGTTCATGATTAATTTTCACACTGAATTTTATAAAATCTGATTAGAAACTTCATTGAAATAAATAATCAAAAGGGGGCGAGGAAAATGTGTTCAGAAGCTGTGTCTGAGTATATGTGTCAGTGCGTAAGTGATAAACAGGGGGCAAATTAAGAAAATAAAAGGTTTGTCTGTACATGTGTAATAATTAGTAAAGAATAGGGAGAATTTGCCTACACAGGATGGAAGATCATGCCGAGAATGTGTGACTTAATGAACTTAAAAATTAACAGCAGATCAAGGAGGTAAAAGTAGCTAGGATCGTTTCTTTTTCACATAAAGTTTCAGGTGAGGACTATTATCATTAACAGTTGTGGCATCTGATTTTTGGAGTATTCGGTACTCAGCGGTCATAGGTAATTTGTTTGGTAAACGGTAGACGATTGAGAATGTCTCCTACATGCTGGACTTATGACCTGTGTGGATCGAACTATTAATGATTTTCTATTTTACCAAGTGCTCTTGGGTTTGAGAAATTAAGTTCCTAAGGAAAAAGATGCGATATGACTGCTTCCACAGGAGTGGCTTAATTACTAGTTACAAGAAGAGGTGAATAACTTAGGATCTTCGTGTTTTACTTTCTAGATATGACTTCTGATTTATCGGCAATTAAGATTAATTGAGTCGATCTTCTTTGCTTGTCGGTTACTAATTTACTTGATGTGTCACCTTGAAACTGTAATCGCATGTAGATTGTCTTGTTTTCCATAGATGTGAAACATTGCTTTTCGACTTTACTGGCTATTTGTTTCCTTTTGAACTTCTCTGGATGTTTATCTCCGATTAAGTTGTCACATACAGTCTTCGGTTTATCCTCAATCACAGCTTGTGAATATATAGCTCCTTCCCTACCGATGAGTATATTTACCAAAGTTATTTCATATTAAATTGAATCAGAGCTATATAATTGTGTTTATTGCCGTACTATGTACTTCTATCATATAAGTTTCTTTTTACATTACCATATCGAGGAATCTTGTAAGAAGTACACCTAAGAATAGTTATCCATGATTTAGCTAGCGCATAAAAAGTGGAATTTTCCATATATGGTATCGGTCTTAACAGTAAACCACACTTTTGGTAAACGGTATAATCTTGCTGTGTATATGCCTGTAGGTTTGAGTTCAAGAAACAAACTTGTGGGACGTAATTGTTCTTTTTTTAGTTTCTTTTAAATTCTGGTTAGTTCATTTCCCATTTTATTATTTAATCCTTTTGTCCTTTCTCTTTTCTGACACTCCTTTTGTCATTCAACATATCATTCATCTTTTTAACATAATCACTTTTGTCAAGGAGGATTATGTATGTTCGTTTATCAATTTTTATAGTTACCAATCTTTTGGCAATTACTGACTTATGTAGCTCTTCCATGTGTTCAATTGTCATGAGACGTTTATAGTCATACTTGATGTTTTTATATCGTTAACAAAAGTCTGTTAGACCGAACATGAAGCTTTCTAGTCCCAGATTGAGAGATGGAACTGGATCCCATTTCTGACTATACAGGTTTTCAAATTCATTATCTGTATCTGTGTAGTTGATATGCTTGAATCTCTCACAAAATCTTAGGTTGAGCGAGAGCACCTTGGGTTGCATGTTATTTAAGTCCAACACTACTATAATTGTGTATGCAACTTTTAGTATCTGCCGGGTAACTGCTAGCTACTGACTTGCTTGTAAGTCCTTTATTTGAACGTAATTTCGCTTCCATTTTGATTATATATATCTTTCGCATTGAGAAGTGAGGTAACTCAAATTCCTTATTTTTATTTTTCGGTTATAGCAATCCATAGACACAGTAATGACTTTTTCATTTTGTTCCTTTCCTTTGAGTTCTGAGTAGGACATAGGGCTTTAGACGTTGTTAAGCTTTGAAGTTCCAATGGCAATAGTATTATTTTTATTAGATGGGGTGGTTAACGTCACGCTTAATCTTTCCTCTTCACCTGGCTTGCTACCAGCTAGGTGAGGTTTACTAATGCGTCTGCCTTAATGGCTGTGAGACATGGCCATTGAGAGTGGAAGACATGAAAAGGCTGACTAGCTGTCTTTGATCATAAGTGCCTGTGTTCCATCTTTCGTGTCAAGTGGTATAATAGGGTGAGCAATATTGATGTTAGGCTTCGGGCGAGTGCTAGGTAAAGAGGGGAAATAAATCGACAAGACTGTGAAGCTACATCGACTGAGATGGTTAGGACATATGTTACGCATACTTACCTAGCCATCGCCTTCCTCGACAATGGGTGATGTTAGCAGACATAGGTTCAGGATGGAAAAGAGCCAGTGGTGGTCAAACCAAAACATGGCTTCATCGGTCAATGAAATCTACAACAGTTAGTTTAAGCCAGTCACGTAGGGAGGTGTAGGCATCCTGGTTGGAGTCCTCGGGACGATAAAAACCAATGAAGGCTGGAGACAATCGGTGATGTGACTCAGAGTGATCGTTCTCGATCTCTGGCTGGCCCAGATGCATCCACTTTTTGTGACTTATAATTTCCAATGAAACTATTTCGTTCTTCGTTATTACTATTCCTTTTGTCTCATATCCCTGTCTGCTGTCTCTATTATGCATTTCTTCTACTTTCTTCTCTTGCTTTGTGTGCTACATGGAGGGAGTGTGGCGACTTGAACTGCTGCACGTCGATGCAAAGTTCTATGTCGAATACAGACACACAATGCGTCTGCCGGGGATCAAATCTAAAGCACATATGTGGTTGGTGGGTATTGCATCGCTGAATCACTGACGCATCGGTGATTAGTATTTCATAATTTTAATACTGCTCACATATGTTCACAAAGTATTTTTGACTATTTTACTCAGAAAACTGCTTATCTTGTAGATATCTTATTGTCGATAAGTGAAGCGTTTCAGTCCAGATATCCAGTTTCAGAAAGTGAGAAGTTTTCCACTGCATTTGACGTTCCCCATGACAAGGCTTTGTTTTTCTTTTATTACTGGTCACATAATTCAGTCTTATTCACTAAGGAACAATAAGAAATTAATTCATTAAGTTAGAATATTGAATGAAAACTACTTTGTAGGTAGGTAACCAGGTATAAAAGATTTGTGTTTTACCATCTAAGCTGAAGTTGTACTTCTTACTCAAATGACTTCTTTTACCAAAGACAAGTCATAAAGGTCATAGGACTTTAGGCTGTTTTGATATTCTAGAAGTATAAATGTAGCAACTTTGCATGAACAAATATATCTTTAGGTTGACCTCTACTGATTTAGTTATTCATTCATAAATCTAATCAATTGTAGCTCATTATCCTATACACCAATATTATTACTATCGCACTTTAGTATTTCCACTCACTGTCAAGCTTTAACACACACACACAACTATACACAAGAAGACTGATTGTTATTGTACCATTGATTTTGATAAAGTCTCACAGTGTTATACAGTAATCTGAGGCATTACGAAAATCAATTTTACCCATAATGGAATTATACTCTATCACAGTGCACAAGTTTTATTCTTATTCATGGAAAATTCCTATTGTAACATATAGAAAATCAAAACAAGTGATTCAATCAGCGAAGAGACTCTTTTCAACGAATTTATTATCATATGTATATATGGTTTTTAGGAAGTTATATTCGGTGAGAGAATTGAATCATAGGTGTGAAAGCATAAAATAATAACAGTAGTATGAAATGCAATTAAAATATTTGTGATTATAATCATATTTAAAAGAATTAGTTCCCTTTATGAATTTAGACAAAGCAATAAGAAGACGTAATTTGTCTGAATCTTGTATTGTGTATTTGCGCAACACATTTCGAACAATCTGATCACACACGGATTTGTCATAGGAATCTAAATATGAAATTAACAAAGAGTTAAGACGTGAGAAAATAGGCCTAGGTTAAGTTAAAAGGACATATTGAAGGTCAAAATAACAATGAAGATCGCTAAATAACAGAGGTAATAGTACATCTGTCCTGGCGGGTATCAAAACAAAGTTTACCAAGGAAGGTTTAGTGTGATGATGAATTGTTGCTTTGAACACATAAAGGTGGTTTAAACTTTCTAATAGCCAGCTATGGCTTCCACAAACTTTAAGATACGCCCTCCTGCAAACACGTTCTATAGATAGG